CAGTATGAGTGCAGTATGCAGCCCACAGAGTGATCCACACACACACACACACACACACAGTCTGTGACAGTGCAGCCTCAGCAGGTGGTGTGAATGTGGGAGGTGTGGGTGCTTAATATTTATCCAGGATGGCATCCACTTCAAGCCAAGATGGACTATGGATCATGACTCCACCTCCTGTGGGTCAAGCCTGTTTCCTCACACAGGAAACAACAAGGAGAAAAGAAATGCACTTTGTTCTTTCTTCCAGTGTTCTTACACAACTGATCTCACCAAAAATACACCACGTCTATTATCTGCTAATGCTGCATCCCACATGTTTCGCCAGGATATTGTGCAGAATTGACTCTTTAAATTGCAGGATTTGTTTCTTGCTTGATTAAAACTGAATGACTGAGCACAGACTGCCACAGACAAAAGCTAAAATTGTCTTTTCAGTCACTGCCAAGATTGAGTACAATTGCACTGAAGATTGGTGTTAACATTTTTTTTTTTTTCCCTTTCAGCTGTCATCCACCCATCCGTTAGCTATACGCAATTTATCCAGTGCAGGGTTGGAGACTATCATGGCTGACACTGGATGAGAGTTGTGATACAGACGGGTGACACAAAGAGAGCTAAATAAAATACTTCCAGTTGAGATGAAACTGATATTAAACTTTACTTAGTAGGTGGTTAGCACTGTCATCTCCCCAGTTCACGTCCTAGTTAGGATGCTTGGGATCTTTGTGCATGGAGTTTGCATGTTCTCCCCGTGCAACGTAGGTTCTCTCTGGGTTCCCCAACTTCCTCCCACAAGTCCAAAAACATGTTGAGGTTAATTGGTGACTCTAAATTGTCCGTAGGTGTGAATGTGAGTGTGCTTGGTTGTCTGTCTTTGTAGCCCTGTGATAGACTGGTGACCTGTCCAGGATGTCCCCTGCCTTCGCCCAAAGTCAGCTGGGATTGACTCCAGCCCCCCATGACCCGAGTGAGGATTAAGTGGTGTATAGATAATGGATGGATTTAAGGAACTCTGGAGCTAAACCTAATTTTGACTACCTTCTGTACTATAGTTCCAAGAGTGTGTCATACTTTTTGACGGTCAAGATAATGGGTGGCTGGTTTGTATGATACCAACATTAGTCATTGTCAGTGATGTAGAACAGTCTGGCTGCACATCACCATCGTTCCGCTATAGTGGCACACAAACACTCTGGCTCGTTTGTATTTCTTTAAACCAATCACAGTCATCTTGGGTGGTGCCAAGCCCAGGATGTAGAGATGGTACCCCTACAAGATATGGACAGCATTGTTTTGGTGAAAAAATAACAGAAAGGGAGGTGAAAGTTGTTTGAAATGCAGAGGAAATGGCTATGGCCTGACGTCTACATTGGGTGCATCCGACTAGAGCAATATTGACTGTATGATGAAGATGGAAAAACCTTCTGTGATAACACCCATAAGTTGCCTCAAGACTGGTGTTGAAGTTCAGCGTAGTGCCTCCAGTCATTGCCACTTTGACAGTGCCTGACTCCTTGGATGGAGCTGAGGCGTGCCATAGACTGTCCTATAACGGCATCCATCTCTCACCCAAAGTGGCAACACCCTTAATTATGCATAACCTTAATCAATACAATCAAAACAGATGCATTATATAAAAATCATTCCCTGCACTATTGTATGAATAAAGAATTAGCTAAAGAAACCAAATCTGTTTTTGTTACCAGTATGTAAACATGTTTATTTCTACTCTAAAGTTGGATGTTTTAACATGCGAGTCGAAGGGGATTGACTCACTTTTGGAGCCACCCTCAAGTGGCCATTTGAGGAACTGCTGTTCTTGGCACCTTCACATCGGCTTCACTTTTCAACCCCTGAGGTTTATGCTTGGGTACAAATTGAGATATATCCACCAGCTGTTAGAGGTTTATGAAGCATTTTACAACATATTCATGCACCATATGCTCCCTTTCACTCACCGCATATTTAATATGTAAGCATTTAAACCACTAATATGTGTTTATTTCCTCTTGGTTAATTCTTTAACCTTCACTTTCACCTTCTCACACCTTTCAATTTAATCCCATTCTACCTCTTTCTTCCTCAACATACTGGGAATTGTTCCTGCAATCAAGATTAAATTTTCCATCTGCTCCTGCAGCTCAGTAATGTTGTGTGTGTGAAGTGCTTTCCTCTTTTCTCTTGACTTTCCATCCAGCGTTAGTGAGCAGCCAAGTGTTGCCTGGTGGTTAGAGATCCTGCTCAGGCCATCCCTCTCCAGCTGGTATGAGACAGAGCTGCCAGAGCTGTCTTCACCTTATGTAAGATTATGAGCCCAGTGATTCAAAGCTGACTGCATTCACACTTGAAAGCTAACAGTTCATCTGTGTTGTGCATGAGGTGGCAGGACTCTCAGGCACAAGCTGTGTCTCCTTGTGACTTGTCCATATCCTCCACTTTTAAATGTCACTCATGTCATTTGATTCAGAAGACGGGCGTCACACCGAAAAGGAAATTTGAAAGAAAAAAAAAAGAAAAAGAAAAAATGGACAGATTGCAGTGGATGGTGAGTCAAAGAAAAGCTGTGTTCATTAATAAATGCATGCATGTGTGTGTAAACACTTGAAGAAACAAGTGCCTCATGCTGATATAACAGATGCACTGTATGTGGAGATGAAATTAAGCTGGCACATGTCTCAGTTTCTAAAGTTTTGTTTTTTTTTCAAATCCAAATTACACGCATTCTCTTTGGTTCACGTACCTTTATTATGAAGTAGTTTAGAAAAGAACACTTGATCCATCGCAGATCTCTTATTAGTTGGAGAGAAGAGCCACTGTAATTATGCCGTATTGTGAATCAGTCGGGCCATAATGTGGCAAATTACACCGGCCAACGTGGAGGTTTGAAGCGATGCACAAAGAGAGACAAAGAGGCTCTTTGGCCGTCATCACTGGACTCTTTCCTCACGTTTCAACCTCTGACTGAACCACTGGACATTGTAGCCACAAATAGCACAGTTATGTTTAGCCTGGACTGTGCTTGTCTTCACTTTTTGTCATTAATGTCTGCGTTTTTGATATTCATGCAGACCTACCGTGCATCCTGGATGTCATTAAATAAGTGGAACATTTTAAATCCCTTCCTGGTCATTGATTAAACCTCTAAAAAAAATCCTCCCTTTGTATCAGAAGTACATATTTAGAACAAATCACCATCAAAATAATCACTTCCAGTAATTTAGACAGAACTCTTTGCTGTTGCTTCTTTTACAATGTGCAGATCACCACCTCTTTCTACATCAACCCTTTCACATTTGCTGCAGCTTGAGCACACCAGCTCACCTATGACTTTCCTCAAAAACTGTATATGTTGCACTACACAGTGGCAAGTTATAATAATAATTTGTAATAATTGGCTTAAAAGAAGCATGTATGAAATCCACTTTTCCTAGATTGAGCATCTGTACCATCCATGCATCCATCCGTCTTCTATACACCACTTTATCCTCTGCAGTGTTGTGGGGTGGCTAGAGCCTATCTAGGTGACTTTGGACAAAGGCAAGGTTCAACTGGATAGGTAACCAATCCATCACGGGGCTAACATGAATAAAAGCAACAAGGCACACTCACAGTCACATCTACGGACAATTTAGAATCACCAACTAATCTCAGTATGTCTTTGGTCTGCAGGAGGAACCCAAAGCACTGTGTAAAACTCACACAAGCACAGGGAGAACATATGATCTCCACATAGAAAGGCCCAAAACTCCACACAGAAAGGCCCACGGACCTTTTAACTGTGAGGCGACAGTGGTAGCCATCCACCACTACACCATCTGTACCTGCTATTCTAACTAGCACGAGGAGTGATCTGCAGTTGCTGAAAAAAGATGGCACAGAGCAGGGCACAAGACTACCTTTTTCACCAGCAGCACTTCCACCGTGTCACAGCCGAAGCAATTCATCCATCCATCCATTATTTATACACCACTTAATCTTCAGGAGGGTCGCGGGGGGCTGGAAGCCTATCCCAGCTGACTCATTAAACAGATTTTAACTAGATTGCTATCATTACCTGCCAGTATGTGGCTCCAGAGGTAAGGCTGGAGGAGAAGGGCCACCAGCAGGGGGCACTGGAGGTGCAGCAGCACATAGGTTAGGTCTAGTGGGAGGAGTCAGCGGGCTTGAACCCGGAAGTTGAACGGCAGGTAACAGGCATGGAGGAAACCGGGATTTAGGGGCTTGAGTTAGAGTTTATGGTGTTTAGAGGAGACGCTGGTGGACGCCTGGAGGAGATATGACGAGGTGCGAGGACTTCTGGAGCTGGAGCAGGATTAATGTGGTCAAAAATCGGATATTCCCGGAGGAGCTGGAGCCGAGTTTGGACGGCCGACGTTTTATGATTTAAAGTTATGAACTAACCAAAGCGGATCAAAAGTTCGTGATGACAACGGCGCTTGGAGGGTGGATTTGACTGCTAGAAGGTCTTTCTGGATTTTGAAATTGTCTGAGGAGGACAGAAGGGATTTCCAGAGTGAGGACGCGAGATTCAGGACACGTGATCTTTAACTTCCGGCCCGCTTTAGTTTGACCGCTGCGATCCTACGTTGAAGACGGATCCGTCCACCTGGGCATGATCAAGGTAAGAACAATCTCCAAACACTGAGTTTTATAGAGATCCCTGAAGAGGAGGTGAATATCGACTAAGATGTGCAGATCTGTAGAGGCTGGTGTAGGCATTGTGACTGTATGAAGTAATGGAAAAGCAAAAAATAAATCTTGTGAAATATTGCATAGTACTATCTCCCCATGCAGTATGAGGTAACATATTAGTTGGTATGAAGGACTAAAAAAAGTGTAAATGATGAGAAACCTGAGTAATAATATAAATAAACCATTTTTTCTGTTTCTTGCAAACATCATGTCCCACAAGCTATCAAACCCAAAACGTTCCTGGTGAACTGAAGGGAAACAACACACATGCTCAGTGTAAATGAGAGTTTATTAATTTGCAATTCATCACAGGGAGAAATACCAATTAATAGGACGATCCCAATTATAAAACAGGCCCCATTTTTTAAAAAGGAATTTTATTGATATATGGTCAATATGATGCTGCATGTTGTATATGTCCATGTGTCTTTTTGTTTTTTAATCCTTGTTGCAGAGAAAATTCAATTTTTATGCTGCAAAACTTTTTTCGCGGTTACATCACACAGTCAGACTGAATGCCAAGTGTCACACATGCAAAACCAAGCTACTGAAGTGTGACAAATGGAGTCTTTGTTTCATTCAGCCTGCAGACTCTGATAACCCATTTCTGCCGCTATATTTTCCTTGCTGCATTTATTGCTATTTTTGAAGTTATTAAGAGTGTAGAAAGGAGAGCACGAGTACCAAGCTGAGACCTTTAATAAGGGGCCTTCAGCTGGAAAACATTTGTCACCGTGTGGCCGAATTTAGGCTGTTTTTTTTTATTTTTCTGGTGAAAAGAAACACAAATAAAGAGTCAAAATTATTACCAAATCATCTAACATTGAACTATGAGGCATCCATGAAAACATTCATTATTGGTTTAAAGCTGAATCACAGAATATTCCGACTATGAATAGCACATCTAAATTGAAGCTTCACTCTAAGCTTTGCTAATAAAATAGTTTTCTTCTATTTCTTTGCTGTGCTCAGGCTGCAGGTTATGTAAATGGTTGAAAACGGTTATAAGAGTGGGAAAAAAAAAAGTAAGTTCCACTGAGGGATCAGTGGCCTAAAGGCACATCTAACCCAGGAACACATCTCCATAGAAGCCCACTCCCCCGACCTTCTTGTCTCCAGCCTCGTCCACCAATTCGGGGAAATGCGCCCCCACGCAGACGTTCACCGTCTCCTTCGCTTCTGCTGGCAGAGATCTCAGCTTCTGGTCGTGCTCCTTCAGGGCCTCTTGATTGAGCTGCCGACACAGAGGCCAGAGGTTAGTTAGAGGATTATCTAAAGGACAGGCTGACATTTTCCTTTTTATTTCAGGAGGTGCTTATCATAATCTTTAGAGAATTGATTTCTGTGTTGGCACAAGTGAAAAAATAAAGATCACTGCTGACCTCAGGCTGGGGAACTGGCTTGAACCCAGCGGCCCAGTGGTTTGATTTTAAATAAGAGCGATCAAATGAGAGTGTCACGGATTTATTTTTTTGTTGTTGACAAAGTAGACTTTACCTGTATTATGACTCAATACTTAGTCAGTGATGTTAAATGCAACACCAGTGACTTGTCCTCATTCGTCCCTGTCTTGTGTTTTTTCTTCTCAGCACTTGAATTCCTCCCACTGCCTCTCACAATATCAACTGTATTTGCAAGCTAATACTATCGGCGATGCATAAAAACACACCATCCATCTGGCATTCACACGTCAACGTCTGAACTCTCTCGCGCCTCTTTCTCTCAATGCCAACTGCCAGGGTTTCGTCAAGTCGAAGCGATTGTCATGGAAAGCGCTCTGACATCATTTGCAGCGGTGGGAGCCTCGTCTACACTTTGTCAGTCGCCTAAACTGGATGTGTCACGCTGCAGCGTCGCGCACTCCCTCTGAACGGACAGATGGCCACGGCTGACCGCGCATTCGAAAGAGAAGGATTTTGTTGTTGGCGTAGTTTGAATGTCTGCGAGTGCATGCGTGTAGTGAAGTTGCATAAACCAGAAGGACAACAGTCTCTTTAAAGAACAACAGTACTGAACATTTAGAAGGTGAGTCCTTGCAAAGGTTATGAATAGGACAGAACGTGAATCACCATAGGCACTGCATTTTAGAATTAATTACATTTTGATTAACTTTAGCTTAAGGGTAAGCCTTCGGGGAATTAATGTAATAGGGCCGTTCCACTGCAAGAACTTTCCCAGGGGAGGAAGCTTTTTGTTTTTTTTGAGGGACTCGTTCATTCATTCATTCAACCTTTATGTAAACTGAGAGTACTCTGCAGTATGAAGGGCACGATGTAGCCGAGTAAGAGAAAAAAAACACACAAATTAGAAATTTAGGTAAAATATTGAAAGGAAAAGACATTAATTAGAGCATTTAAGGAACTCGGGCTGCAAGGTGGAGCAGTGGTTAGCACCATTGCCTCACAGCAAGAAGGTCGCCGGTTTGCATCCCGGTGAGGACACCCGGGATCTTTCTGCGTGGGGTTTGTATGTTCTCCCCGTGCAGTGTGGGTTCTCTCCGGGTTCTCCGGCTTCCTCCCACAGTCCAAAAACATGTTGAGGTTAATTGGTGATTCTAAATTGTCTGTAGGTGTGAATGTGAGTGTGCTTGGTTGTCTGTCTCTAAGTGTAGCCCTGTGATAGACTGGTGACCTGTCCAGGGTGTCCCCTGCCTTCACCCTAAGTCAGCTGGGATAGACTCCAGTCCCCCCACGACCCTAGTGAGGATTAAGCGATGTATAGATAATGGATGGATGAACTGCTTTGGTGGAAGTGCTGCTGGTGAAAAAGGTAGTCTCGCGCCCTGCTCCGTGCCATCTTTCTTTGGCAACTGCAGATCAGTCCTCGTGCTAATTCGAATAGCAGGTACAGATGGTGTAGTGGTGGATGGCTACCACTGTGGCCTCACAGTTAAAAGATCCGTGGGCCTTTCTACATGGAGTTTTGGGCCTTTCTATGTGGAGATCATATTTTCTCCCTGTGCCTGTCTGAGTTTTACAGAGTGCTTTGGGTTCCTCCTACAGTCCAAAGACATACTGAGATTAGTTGGTGATTCTAAATTCACCGTGTCCCTGTGATAGACTGGTGACCTGTCCAGGCTGTCCCCTGCCTTCATCTTAAGTCAGCTGGGATAGACTCCAGTCCCCCCAGGACCCCAATGAGGATTAAGTGATGTATTGATAATGGATGGATGGATTTAAAGAACTCTGGAGTTTAACCTGTTTTTGACTAGAAACAATACTTTCTGTACTATAGTTCCAAGAGTGTGTCGTGTTTTTTGACAGTCAAGGAACCATCAGGGTTTTTTAGCATTGAATGCAGCTGTTTTTTTTGCCTAGTATTCATATTCAATAGAAATAGGACACGCAAAAGGGATTATAGTTCCGATTTTAGCTCCTAAGTTCTATGGTTTCTGTCGAGAGTCTGTGAGACCAAAGCAAGTGTATCCTGGTGTCGGTGTGTGTGTACCTGATTAGTCAGGCCCTTGATTTCTTCCAGTGTAGCGGCCTGTTTCTTCATCAGAGCCTCTTGCTGTGGACTGTAATCTGAGGACTGCAACGACACAATACAGCACAAAACATGTCACGGTGGAAAAAACACGGATCGATTTGTGGTTCTCGGTGTGTGTTTGTGTGCGCATGTGGCATGAAGTGAGAGATAAAGACCGCTCGCGTGTCTATAAGCGCTTCATCTGCTCATGTTTCTCCCTGCGAGTGTATGTGAGTGTGTATATGTGTGTGTACCCATGGGATGCAACCAGAGAGAGAGAGAGAGAGAGGATCAATACAGTTAAGTCACAGGTTGGGCTTGTCCAGTTAGATTACACAGCCCACGTTGCACTCAGGCTTTCAGGACCGAGGGTGTGCTGATTGAACAAGTGATTGTGTTATAAATAGTGGTGCTAATTAATGGGTAAAGGCTGATTAGGTAGATCAACGTGAGCTGCGATGCGACCCTAATGTGTGGAGGGATGTTGGGGCCGTCCAGACTGAGCTGATGGGAGAGGAGCGGAGTGAAGCGGTCAGGTCTTTAACCTAGATACAACAGGTCTGAATCTTGATGAGCTCTACAGAGGAACAAGAGCAGAGCCCAGTGAGTCATCGACCACACATGGATTAGCCCGCTCCCTGTAAACAGCTTCTGAGTAATGGACAAGCCTGGCCTATGGTCAGGGCCTGCTGCACTTTACTCATTCGGTAAAAAGGCTGCATGCATGTGTGTGTGTGTGTCCTTGAATGTGGGGCTGCTGTGGGTGAATGTGTGTGCACGTTCACGTGGGCGTACTTACAGTTGGCCGATGTGTGTGTCTGCGAGCAACACGTGGGCGTACAGTATGTGAACATGTGTGCAAATGCATGAAAGAAAAGTGCTGTAACGTGCCTAAGGTACTATTTTTTCCCATGTGTTGTTCAAATGTTAGACACTTTGTAACCATAGTTACACTGCCAAATACAATACGTGTTGAACAGACCGGTGCGAGCTAGTTCTTCTACAGTCAAGTACAAACTGAGAGGGAAAGTAGTGATGCATATCAGCACCTGGCCTCAGAATTTAGTGTGAAATGTTGATTCCTGCAAGGTAATAGTGAAACATTTTGGGAAATGCATTTGACACACATTACAGAGTCCCCTCCAGTCCGGATCAGATGGTGCTGAGAGTCGGCAGACATTCATCTGTCTATGGAGGTACACTCTGGATGGGATCCACACAGTGCGAGCTCCTCATAAATACAGATGGCATCATTTCTGTGGCGCATACCGGTAAATAAAACCTTAAGCTCGCTGTGTTGTACAATGTTTTCCCACCTGCAGTTCCCTCTGCAGGCTCTGCAGCTGCAGTGCCCAGGCCTCTCCACCCACCCAAGACCTCAACCAAACTCTGCATTTTCCTGTTTGCCTTTTCACTGCAAATTGCACTTGCTAACAGTATAAACAGTGCAAGCTGTTGGTTGCCATCAATGTTTGTTTTAGTCCAAGAACATGCAACAGCTGGCGTTCCTGCAGGATTTCCAGGGTTATGTACAGCCAGAGCTTCATCTGTTACCAGCCAGCAGTGTATAGAGAGACTCAATAGAACTGGGACTTCCTGTTTGTATGCCAGAAGTAGAAAACCTGATTTAAAATCCCCAAAAATGCTGCAATGGACGAGAGTCTGTCTCGACAGTATGGCCTGTGTCTGGTTATGTCCAGATAAAGATTGTAGTTTATTGAAAAACAATCTAATACGACTGATTATTGTGTCTTTAATGAGCATCAACTCTCATAAGCCTTAGACCAGAGATCTCCAGTGCCGGTCCTCGTGAGCTACTGTCCTGCAGGTTTTAGATGTTTGCCTACTGCAACACAACTGACTAATGGATCTCCAACAGCTTGTTGTCAAGTTCTACACAAGTCTGTTAATGATCCATTAATTTGAGTTAGGTGTGTTGCAGTACGGAGGCGTCTAAAACCTGCAGGACAGTAGCTCACGAGGATTAGCGTTGGAGATCCCTGCCATAGATGTTCAACAGCTGAACGTCTCAGATTGATGAAGGACTCATGTCAACGAGCAAGTAGAGAGGCTACGATTAGTTCAGGCGTAACAGGACACACAGGAGTCAGTTTTTATGCAGCTGACATTACAGCCAGATAGATGAAAATGTTATTTTAGCATAAAGCACTGGTGAGTTGTATAAATGGGGTCAAATCCGCCCCGCTTGTTGTATTTGGGCTCATAAAGCAATTGTTTGTTTAGGTGACACAATAATAAAGGTTTCTATTTTTTTATAGCAAGTTCTTAGTTGGCGCCATGAAAAGGAAACCTCAGGAGCAAGCTTCTTTCTTTCAGTGAGACCAATGAAAGAAATGTTAAATGACTGGAAGAGGCCAGTCTAGACTTAATGTCATGATGATTTTTGGATTTTCGAACTGTCAAGGAATCTTTATAACCCCTTTCACACCTGCACTTATTTCTGTTAAGCTGTTGGCAGCTGGATGTGTCGGCTTCACGTCTGCTCTGCTCACCTCTCCGTTAAAGTCACTGTGGCAATCTTACCAGTCAGACTTAGTAACATTTCCATCACTTTTTTTTATATTTCAGCAACGTAATTCATCAAAAGAAAATCACAGTGCGTCTTAAACTCCCTTTGTCAGTCACTTTGCCCTTCAGAATCACATATATTACGAACTGAAATATCAATAAAAATTTTACTTTTACAGCCATGAAGACAAAATTAGTAACAAATGAATCAATAATAATTAATATAATCCAGGTTTATACAAAATATTAGCAGCTGTTTGTAGGATTCTTTCGTCTGAGTTTATTAAATGCAGTCGTGACTCGATAATCCGACCCTTAACAATCTGAAAACCTTGCTGTCCGACAGGTTTTTAGGAAAAACGAACGACACCCATGAAAAATGCCCTCAACATACCGACAGCCTTGAATTCTGACTCCGACATGACATTTAATGTCACCAATCAGGATGACGGCGTATTATCTGACTGAACAATCCCACAGATTGGCTACGTTCAGACTGCAGGACTTGATGCTCAATTCAGACTTTTTTGTGAAATCAGATTTTTTTTTTTGCAAGTTTGTTCACATTTCCAATTAAATGTGACTTGTATCTGATCTGCTGTGTGAACTTCATACGACCCAAAAGTGTCCCACATGCGCAGAAGAGGACACGACGACGTCACACGCAGCGAGCATGTTTGCAGAAGTAAACACGGATGGTGGCAGTGCCACTGATGGTGGAAACAGAACTGGGACCTCTATCCTAAACTAGCATCAGCAGCCAAGTACTGCCTGTGTGTTCCGACCACTTCCACCCCGTCGGAGCGCTCCCCTGGGTGGAAGTGTCCCCCGACCGCACAGAATATTCAGATATTCATCATTAATTGGGCCTGAATATCCAGAGACCAGAAAGCTCTATTGGGACCAGCCCTACTAGTTACTATAACAACTATGAATAATAATTAAACAACAAATGAGCCTTCAAGCATCAAGCCCTCCTTGTATCTCGACCTCCGTCTTGACAATCCGACAGCCTTGCTATCCGACATAAAGAAAGATTTACATTTAGTGTCGAATTATCGAGTCCTGACTTTAATATAAATATAATAATCTCTCAGCAAAGAGATTTCCTAAGTTGTCATACTATTTCTTTAATTTACATTCATCCACAAAAGAAGCTATAAACCTACTCCACGTGTTTTAAAAGTGATTGGTCTTATACTTACTGCACCATCAGCCTGACTGGGCTCATCCAACACCTCCACGCTCTGGGACTTCTTCAGCCTAAATGAAGATAATTATTTTCAGTTAAACATCATCTACATAATATATATTTTTTTTTTTAAATCACCAATTCAGTGGTTGGTTGCATTAAAATATCATAAGAAATGTGTGTAACTATCCTGCCACAATGACTTGTTGGACACAAAAGTAAAAGTAATGATTAAAAATGAATAAACTCAAAGTGAAGCCAGGCCTAATGTGCAGTGCCAATGCCTTCTCACTGTTCTTTTAGTCTTTGGAAGAGAAGTTGGAACTTTGTTAGAATTTAACTGGGAGTTGTGAACTCACTTTGCTTTGTCTGTGGACGAACACTTTGTCAGCGTTTTCTTCTTGTTTTCTTTGGTTTCGCTGCAAATCAAGGCAGAGACAGATTTAAAACCTTGAAATGAAAATTAACCCTATGAACAGACTTTTTTTCCTTTTAAAAGTTGGAGGCTGAGAGAGTCTGATGTGACCTTATCGTCACAGGGGAAGGAAGGATTAAATGTGATGTTGCAGAGTCTGTGTGGACAGGTAGGCCATCAGGGCCGCCTTCGCCTCCCCGCTGCTGTTTAAACACCTGTTGGATAATAGCTGTCCTGAGATAACCATCTGCCAGCTGGAGATTTGGGATAACACACACACACACACGTACAAGCCTGACGCCGGTCAAGCCAGCCAAGGACATCAGAAGACCTGCGCGCTGAGGTGATTCTTTTATTATTTGAGGGTTTTCTTTTAGCAAAATGTCAAAATTTTTCTCCTCAAACGACACACACAGACAGTGTCGCGCCAGAGTGTCGAGGCACAGATTGGATGGACTCGGCAAAGCCTTCTCGTGTTTGTGCATCATGTCCCCAATGTGTTGCATGAGTGCTCGCACCTCTCCAGGGTCTTCAGCTCGCTGGTGTGTCTCTCTGTGGCCATCTCCAACAGTTTGGCCAGTCTCTGTCACAACAGAATAAAGGAAATGGCACAATCACTGTCAAAATAAAGCGCCAAAATGAGACTTAAATAGCTCTAAATAACAATGTCCAGAAGTTCAACCCTTCTGTTGTTAATTTGCAAGAACTTAGGTTTAAGTTTCACCAGAACTATTGGCTCAAGGCCTGTATGGAGGATGCTAAGCTCCTCTTTCCGCAGCATTCCTACAGTACGGTCTACACCACTGAGATGGCAAAATGACCCGACTGACCCCGCAGTTGTATTCTGAACTCGTGCTAAGAGCACCCCAGTCTGGTTTATAATGAACAGAGCCTCTGAAGCACCGGCTGTTCGCCCATGATCCCAGACACACAACACAGCGAGGTAAAATTAGGTGCTCCGAGAGAATTGTGAATGCATCCTGAGCCGGGGAAATAAATCCTATTTTTGGGGCGAATCATTAGATGTAATAAGGACAGCAAAGAGCTGAGGAGAGTGCTGCTTGAATGAGGAGCACATCTAAACTGCTACATTAGAACGAGGAGCAGATTTTGTTATTCAGGTTCCAGCTTAAAAAAAACCCTCCATGTATGGATGAAATGCAAAAAGTCACACACTGCTGATGATCCTGTTTCTAATCAGGTTACAAATGGACAATAGATCAATCAGTTATCACTTCTCAGGGATGATAAGTGCAGAAAACAATAAAAAAAAAAGGGGGAAATTATTTATTTTTCATATGCAACTGTCAGTACATTTAGCAAAAAACATTATTGGTTGTGATGAAACAAATTCTAACTGTCGGGTTATTTAATTAATAGCAATAATCATCATTTCTAGAATCATAATTTTGGTATGCAAAACTAAATTCACAAATTAAGGAGCAAAAACAGCGATGAATAAATGTTCAAAACGTACAAGCGAAACATTAAATATCCTCCCTTGAAGTGCAGTGAAGAGGCGGTATAAAGCAGATGAGAGCAGAAGCACTAAAGTGAAGGTCAGGTAACGCCAACGTGTATTTAAACTTGCCGTAATTGAGTTTTTGATCATTAGGGGATGAATGCAGCTGCAGACGCAGCACTGAATAAAGTGGTTGGGTCTGAGGTGTTAGCAGACAGCAGTGGTGGGCAAAGTGTTGAAGCATTCTTAAGTGAAAGTATTCAAGTTTTATCGTGGAAATGTCCTGAAATATTAAAAGTAGAGATACTCAGTGCGGAAAAACTCCTACTACTGTAATATCATTATAGTATATTATTATTACTCATATATGTTGTATACATGTTTTACTTTTGTTCCGTAATAAAGAAGACGTGGTCTAATTTGGGCTTCTTTTGAAAAATTTACTCACAGTGCTTACTCTTACTGATTTTTCAGTGTGAACAAAAATTAAATATCGACATCGGTAATATCGGTTATCAGCGATATTAGAAATTTTATTATCGGATATTGGTATCACCCAGAAATTTTAATGTCGTCCATCACTAATTAAAAGATACCTGTGCACCTGTGAACCAGACGTTAGTCTATATCAATGTCAGTGAAGAACTATAGCTTTCATATGTTTGGTGGTGGGCTGCAAGGCGGAGCGGTGGTTAGCACCGTTGCAAGAAGGTCGCCGGTTCGCGTCCCGGTGAGGACACCCGGGATCTTTCTGCGTGGAGTTTGCATGTTCTCCCCGTGCAGCGTGGGTTCTCTCCGGGTTCTCCAGCTTCCTCCCACACAGTCCAAAAACATGTTGAGGTTAATTGGTGATTCTAAATTGTCCGTAGGTGTGAATGTGAGTGTGCTTGGTTGTCTGTCTCTAAGTGTAGCCCTGTGATAGACTGGTGACCTGTCCACCCTGAGTCAGCTGGGATAGACTCCAGCCCCCCATGACCGTAGTGAGGATTAAGAGGTGTATAGATAATGGATGGATGGATGTTTGGTGGTATCAAACCTAATCTGTATGTTATTTGGTGTTGCCTGCTGAATTTGGAGTGTGAACATTTAGTTTGTGGGTCAGAAATCCAAAATGATGAGCTGAGAAGGCGCTACAATCCTCTGCAGAGCTGGGAACTACTGAGTTGGGTGATAATTCACCTTTCACAGATTCATTTGATTCACCGGTAATATCAAAAATATTGACTAGTGCAGCTTCAAGTCCAGCATCTGGCTAAATATACTGAGTTTCTCTTCACTACTGATGTCTTTTTTAAATAGAAACCAAGGAGCTTCAAGCTTCCACTAACCTCTGTGGCAAACTGCTCTTTCTTCTTCTTCATCTGATCGCTCTGCTCCGTCCACAGAGCTATTAGCTCAGCCTGCATTTTTTCTTTCTGCTCCTTCGCTCGCTCATTGTTCACGCTGGAGTCAGAGGTGTCGCCTCCTCCGCTGCTGAGACACACGGAAAACATGTTACAGCGACGCAGGACATATGAAAAGGGAGTACAGTGATCGACTCGTCTGCAGAGATCCGTCTTCAACCACGTGCTTGCTGGAAAACACAACACAACAGTGCTCGTCTGGCCTTTAACGACACACGTTTTGCTCTGAAACAGCTCAGCGTGGAGGACCGTGCACAAAAAAGCACGGCGGCCCCGACTCATTTAGTTGTTTTCCTCCTCCTCTAATATTCTGCTTTAGCCAGAAAAACACATTAGCCGCAGAATATTCTTCATGCTTCTAAATATATTCTCGTTAATAACGCCGACCAAAACAACAACAACAACTTCATTAGCGTGTCAGTATTAATACGCTGCAGAATTCAGCGCTACTTTGCAGGAAACACAACAGTCTTTGAATGATTAACCGTAAACAATTGGACAGATGGTTCTTCTTCCAGCAACACCATCAAGAAAAGAAAAAAAACCTCCTTTTGTCAAACATTCTGCATATTTCAGCTCGACTCTGAAAAAGCATTATGACAACAACAAATAGGGGGGAAAAAAATCTGTTTACTCTTTTTTCTTCATCGAGGCTTTCTTCTTGAGGGCCTTGAAGGAGTCTGTGTATTTCTGAATCAGATCCTCTCCTTTTTTCTGATACTTCTTTTCTGCCTCTTTCATGTCTTTCTCCTGACGCTTGATGACCTTCAGATAGTTCTTGTGTTGTGTCAGCTGCTCAACAGTCACAGTCGAAGGCTCTGCGGCACAAACACAAAGAATCTTTTTTTTTTACTTGTCAGCCCTGGGTATGCATTTATAATGAATCTATTCAATGATAATAATAATAAAAAAAACTCTAAATTGATCTGCATTTTCCTTGTACAGTGAGCTGAGAGGAGGGATGAGTGCAGCACATGGAGCACTCCAGTGTTACCTTCGCTGCTGGTCGGTGGCTGAGGTGAGTCATCTGGTTCTGCAGGCTCGGCCGGTTCGCTTACCGGACAGGGCACGACCTTGACGGCGGGGACGACCTCGACGGCAGGCTCTTCGGCGGCTTCCGTTGCCTCTTTGTCGTCTGGAGCAGTCTCGGGGTTTGCATCGGCGTCTGGTTCTTCTTTGGCTTCGGGAGCTGCCTCTGGTTCCGGGGCTGCTTCTGCCTCAGCTTCAGGCTCCTCAGATGAAACAGCAGGTTCCTCAGATGGAACAGCTGGCTCCTCAGGTGCAACAGCATCTTCAGGAACAGTTTCAGCCGCATCCGGCGCTGCGTCTTCAGCGACAGGAGTTTGAGGAGGCTCCTCTACAGGTTCGGTAGCATCTGACTTGTTCTCCGCCTCGTCTTTGGCTTCTTCTGCAGCAGGTTCAGGTGCAGGCTGGGGCGGCTCTTCGGTGGCTGGTGTAGCATTTTCTAGAAGAGTTTAGCAACGAAATGCACATTTAAACCCAGCACCGAGATCACAAGAGTCGTATTAAAGCCTAGATTTTTGTCTGAGCTGTGTCCCCCTTGATGAGCTTCATTACCTGCAGCAGGAGCTTCACTTTCTTTAGCTTTGTCTGCAGGGGCTTGGACCACAAGAGGCAACTCATAGGGAGAAACGTAGTCAGCGGATGACTGCAGGGGTTTAAAATAAAAAGGACATGACAATCGAGCAAAGCTGGTCATCTTCCAGGAAGTCAATTAATGCTGTTAAAGCTTTATAGGAAACCTGGGGGTATGAATGATGTCAGTTTTAGTGTCTGAGCTACCTCTTTGGGGGTCTTTGTGGTTTTTTCTGTCCCCTTTGTTGGATTAAATAAGGCATCTGTGAAATCTGAGGAAGAATCAGAGACATCAGTGTACAAGGCAGCAATACTCAAGAGCAGAACTCATGCTCGAATCAAACAGAAACGTGTCTTTAAACGTGATAAAATGCTACCAAGCTCCACACATCCAAACTGCATTACTCTTGTCCCTGACTGTCACTCTTGCCACAAGGATTCAGTTTTTCTTTTGCATACAGTGAATAGCTAAGCACCTGCGAAGGCAGCAGGGATGTAGTCCTTGACCTCGATGTACACAAAGAGAGCAGGCAGAGTGAGAGGCATGTTGCTCTCACTGCGCAGGCAGATGTGATGGAAGCCTGCGGGGCATTCAAAAAAAAAAAACAGAAAAACCTTGGTAAATTAAAAACAAGGCAGCATCTCCTCTGATCCAGAAGCTGAGGCAAAATCAAGTTAGCAAACATTCTGAGTCCTTGAATGACTCGGTGTTTTAAATTATGTAGATGAGTGTTTCTCGTCTCAGCGTCACTGACCTGACTGAATGGCATCGACTGGGATGATTCTATGTCCCAGGAATTTTCCATTCTCTTCATGCACTACAATTCTGAGAGAGGCCATCTCTGGCAGCAGGATCTAACGATGATGACAAACAGCAGCAGATCAGGTTATAACGGCCTCACACAAATGCATCCACCCTTGTTTGTGTTTGTGCACATGCTTTAACCCACACCTTCTCAAAAACAAACGGCTCCTCATTCCACACCGGGTTGATGGCGTTGGGGGTGGTGGACCACTTGGTGCGGTATTTCTTCTTGGGGTCTCCTGGCAGCCCGATCACCTCCACCTCCACTCCTGTTTTGACGCTCTTCTCTGACAGAAACTGTCCCGAATAGATCTAACGAGACAAGATTTGATCACATACGTGTGTGAACTGGTTAACGGTGCGTGCTGTTGTGTCCGTCCACGCTGACGGATATAAATAGAGCCGAGGTTTTCAGCCATGCAGAGTCTGCTGAATACCAGGAACCATGTTACAGTCTCAGCAGGACGCTTGTATTATTACGGACTCTGCATCCAAACTACAAGGACAACACACACACACACACAGCACACGCAGGCTTCCCAAGGCTATTGAGGCTCATTTAATGCTCAATTTGGAAGAGGAAAAAACAGCTGTCAGCTATATACACATTGCACTGATTGTTCATCAGCTTCCCTGCAATGCGATATCATAAATGACACAGTTTTACATAGAAGCAGTTTCACCTGAAGCTTTAAAGTCAATTATTGTGACCTTTTAAAATTGCTTTCTTTGTTTTAATATGTTTGCTTTGCACAGATAATAGAGGCCTTAAGCTGAACGTATCACAAGGATGGAAGGAGGCGCCGTAGTAACAAGAACCTGCCTTTATGGTCAGCGTGCTCGCCACAACCGTGTCAATCCTGTCACAGAAAGGGTCAAACTTCTTGTCACTGCGACGCATGACATCGTGCTTGAGTAAGTAACCCGTCCTGCCGTTGAATTCAAACAGGGCCATGTTCAGCTGCATGGGGAAATCTGAAAATAGACACAAACAGGCCCGTTCATGCCACCTCTCTTCAGCTTCAGGAGGAGCACCGAGCATTTGGGATGCAGAGCACAGCCGAGGCCGGCGCGGCACAAAGAGGTGCAACACTGACCTGCTGTGGTGAGAAGCAGAAGCTCAATGGCTTTAAAAGTACAGAAGGATGTGACATTTTGAGGATGTCAGAAAATTATAGTTAATGGAGAAACGAGGGACGGTTGATGTAGCGTAAGAAAAAAAAAAACGTGATATTTCTGAGCGGTTTTCGGCCCTTGCGTGCTTTCGTACCCATTGTTTGGTAGTTGAGCGCCACCATCTGGCAGCCGACATTCCAAAAAGGCTGAGGGCTGTAGTTGGATGAGTCCATTCTCGTTCCTTTGGGGTAAATCCTGCTCATCTGCCTCTTATTGTATCTGAGTAAGATCATTTAGGAACCAGGTATTTATAATCACAAGCGTACTTTTCTGTTTGTTCCCCCCTGATTGCTTTAAATAACACATTTCGACTCGAACTACTGCACTCAACATTTCATTTTCCTTTTTTTTCTGGAGCATGACAACATCTGCAGCACTCTTAAAGGATACTCGACAAATTCAACAGCAGTCTTGGCAATCATTGCCTCCCCTTTGGTCTCCACAAAAGATGAGATGACGTAACTCTTGTTTTTCCCTGTAAAGGAAGAGAAGAATGGGAGGAAGAATTGCATAACTCACACTGACTTTGATGGGGGTATTAGTAAAAATCCACTTTGCGTGATGCACAGACGTACTTCTGGCATTGTCAAAAGAGATGAATTTGTTGGGCTGGATGTAGTTGACTATGGATGACATCGCCTCGTACGCTGTTACTTCTTGTCCAGCTGTGCCCTGTGTGGGGTTGACGGGAGGTTATCTGGTGTTCGGGCTCTTCAGGCCAGAGACGGATGACGTGAAAACAAAATAAAACCGTCATCGCGGTCGTCACCATTTACCTCATCTGACGTCTTCATTTTCTCCTCGTCCTGTTCCTCTGTGTCTTCTTGCTCCTCGTTGTCCTCCACAGCTGCGTCCACCTCTTGGGAAACATAGAATCAGAATGTGAGTGACGCCTAAAAATAACTCAACATGTTTTTGGAACATAACTAGATTGTGCACCTTGGTTCTCCTGGGTGCTAGGGGCCGGGGTGGTGCCATCCGGAGAAGAGGTGTTTGGGTCCTGGGTGGGTGCGGCTGTGGCAGCAGGCTGGTCAGTGGCGACTGTGGTGGCTTTCTTAGCCGGAGCTGGTTTCCCGTGGCTGCCCTTCTTGTTCTTGATGAGGATCTTACCCATGAGCTCAGCTGGGCTGGGAATCTGTTGTCCTGCCTTCAGCTGGATGTTAGACACGAATACAAGAAAAAACTGACTAAGATGCAAGAAAATAGTGAATGTTGAGAGATTTAGCTATGATATTAGTCATCATTTTGTTGGTTTTTTTTGTTCTTTAAAGAGGCTTGCATACAAAAGCTGCATTTACTAACAATTGCTAATGACCACCAGGCCCACGCTGAGGTTGGTGTTTCTTTGGGTAAATAAATGTGACCTGATGGCTCCAGAGGAAAAGTCACAAGATCACAAAACTTTTTTTCTCTATAAATCTGGAATATTTGATCCAAAAATCCAATCCTATTCTGATAAATGAATAAATCAAAATGTGAATTTCACTCAACTCAAAGGTGTCATTTTCATCATCTGGAGACTGAAATCACTAAAAATGTTTTTTTTTAAATAAACATCTACTACAGGAATAAATGATAAAAGAAAAAAAAAAAAGACTAGTCAAGATATTTTTAGGGCGCTGGGTTCTGGAGAAGAAAATAACATCTCATGACCTAATTTCTGAAATCCTGGCTGTGTCCCTGATATTATCTGACACAGTTAAACTCATTCTCCCTCTGCCTCAGGGTTTCCAGCGTATGTATATCCTCCACAGAGCTGAGAGGAGGTGAACACACACCGATATAAATCAGCCAAACGGGTATGGGAGTCTGTGAAGGCCTCGTCTATTGGAGATAAGAAAGAGGACGATCGTGAAACTTGAACTTTTCCATTTATTGCCCTCGTGCTCATGTGAGCGGACCACAAAACCCAGCCGAGTCTCGCTCTGCAACATGACGATCCTGCATCTAATTTATCAGACAAACTGCTCTGTTTAACTAATCTCCATGTATAAACGTTATCTAGCTGTTATTTTGACAGCAGGCTGTGCACTCACAGGGTATTTGTCCAGAGGCTCTGTTAGCAGGGCATCACCAAATATGGTTTTGCAGTAGTTGGCCATCTTCTCCTGCTGTTTCACGCTGGAAGAAATCAGATCAACATCTGTTACTGTCCCCTGTTCCTGCCACAAAATGTTCAATTACATCCAATATATTTTAGGATAATGACATAAGAACACTGTTGCATTGTGGTTCTAGCATTACAGGGTGTGAATTCATGTAAAAGCTTACGAGTCAACGTGGTTTTCAAATGAGAGGATAACGGGGTACTGGGAGGTTTTGAAGGCGCTCTCTGCTATAGCCTCGATCACATCCTGTTAGATGGAAGAGACAGACATTTTTTTTTTGTATTTTTATACTCTTAACTTGTCTTTTATCTGATTTAGATGTAGATAAAAGAGTTGGAACTGGAAATAGAGCAGTAGAAAACACAGTCAAACTCATGAGACAGCAAAAAAAAAACTGCATAAACACAATAAAATCACATAAAATATTGAAACCAAGACATTGGGAAAACTCTTCTCTGAAAACACAAGCAGGGGCAAAGCTGTTCCTTCCATGCAGAGGCCCTGAGGTCGCTTCCAAAACTATCACATCCAGGCAGACGGCAAACCGAGCTGCTGCGTTCGGGCCCCTGCGACCGTGGAGCTGTCCTTAAATGGAAGTGTGAGAGGATGATGTGGCCGCCTGCCTGAGTGTGTTTGTGCATCGCTGTGTGCTTTGAAGCCTTCACACGCTTTTGCTCTTTGTTTCGAATGAGCACCTCGGCATGAATAAACGACGACGAGGGAATCTACGGGCTCATCGCGGTCGCCGTGATGCATTTTGACACTGTGTGGCGAGTGTGAACAGCTTCTGGTGAGCGCGTACGAGAGGATGTCGTATCCAAACGATGCAAACTGTGCTGACGGGGAAATCGGGGAAGGCCGTTCACTGGGATAGAGGTGTGATATGCGAGGCTTCACTGTCTGGTCACAGAGTTAAAATAACAAATATGTCACCGCAAAATGTTGCTCTTCATATCTATGCATGTTGTACAGGCTCCAGAAGGGCTCCAAAAATATGAAGAGTGAAAGCCTAAGTGAAATTTGAAACATGAGGAGACTGAACGCCAGGAAGTAGCCACCTTGTAGAGGATCTCAGTGGTCATGGTGAAGCCGTGAGTGATGATGGGCTCTTCATCCGGAGGTTTGCCCTTCCAGCAGTCCAGCTCCAGACAGCGGCAGCCGGACAGGAGACACTGACGGTACATCTCCGGAGAGGACACGCCAGAGAACTGACCGGCTACAAGAGAGGAAGTAGAAAAGAACACCCTTAAGATTTCACATATCGACAGGAGCTAGATGACTTGTCAGTTAAATCCAGTGTGATATATGTGACCTGTCAGGTATGTGTTGTGTGAGGACTTGATGAAGTAGTGGGGCACAGGTTGGGTCATGTCCTGACACTTGGCCAGTCTGTCCTGCATCACCACTGATGTCTCCGAACCCATCAAGAAGAACAAAAGCCCTTCTGGAGAAATCAGACCTGCAGACCAACAAGACATTGAAGCATGTGAAAAAAAACAAAGCACAAAAGCTAATCTTCAAGCCAGTCAGTCCTCCAGATCTCACCTCTGTTAGAGTTCGAGGAGCACGGCTCGTACTTGTCGATCAGAGCCTTGATCTGGTCTTGCCGCAGACGTGGAAACAGCTCCTCGTTGAGCCGGGAGTCCCTCTGCTTCTCGTTGAGGAACTTGGTGAAGTTCTCCTTGGTCATGGTGGGTTTGTTGGAGCTGGAGGGCACAGTGAGGCATGACAGTCACGTCAGCGCTGCTCGTGTCCATCACGGCCCACTAAACCGCCACCTGAGCTCACGCCAGGCAGCTAATGCACGAGCTGGAGGCTCCGATCGGCCGAGCATGAGGACGGCGTCGTTTGGTTTACACCAGGCCTCTCCGGCTACCAAATTACAATATGTGCAGAAGCATGTTTTTGGCTTCTTGACTGTTAGATAGAAACTGAGACCCTTGGATTGGGTGTATTATGATAAACCAAAGAGCAAAAATGATGATGATATAGACAAATTTTAAATGTGTTTTTGGCGGAAAATTCATGGAGGCGAAAACAGTCTCAAAAAATAAATGCAAGATAAAACTAATTGTAAGAATAATGTACGATTTGAGCAACAGTAGGTGTTTAAAATACACACACACAAAAACAGAAAAGGCATATGAGAAGACACCCAATGAAGCCAGAGGTCGACTCACTACGAAGTGAAGATCTCTAAGATCTCAGGCCGAGGACAGAGGTTGGTCAGGAAGGTCTTGAAGGCAGCCTCAGTGAAAACATCAGGCTTAATGGTGTCGTACTACAACATGAAGACACGATATCTTATGTCAGATCTTTACTACCAAACAAAAGACCTAAAATACTGCAAAATGAGAAGTTTGTTTTTATCATACTTGTGCAGCGGGAGTGTTAAACTCTGACTAAATATCTGATCCAAGATAACTGAGCCAATAGGAACGAGAAGTAAAAAATAGACTTTATTTGTAGTAGACGGCAGGTTTCATTTCCAACCTTTCCTTTCGGGAGGTGTGCTGATGCTAAGGCACTTTCCACCCTCTTCTTATCCGCAGGGAACATCTTGTAAATGCTGAGAAAACACACGGCGAAACACTGAGTAGGAAATATGGAAATCTACAGTCCAAACTAAGCGCTGCGTGGTCGTGCTGTAACCTACTGTTTCACCGGGATCTTGCCGTCCTTGTTGGTCTGAAGAGAAATGCGGGTGAATCTGAGATTGAAAGCAGCGCATGTATTAATACGACTCAGTGTTTCGCGTTACATGATGAAATTAAATTGTTCTGTGTTCAGCCAGTATCTGATACAAGCCGCTGTGTCAGATTACACCATGCTCACTTACATTTTGTCCAGGAAGACTTGTCTGCAGGCATTGTTTCTCGCAGCATTATAGGCAATTGCAAGGATGTCATTTGCCCAGTTCTGAATTTAATCACAACAACAGACAGATATCTTGTATTAGATTCAACAACATGAGTTGCTTTTGGCATGAGTTGCTGTAAAAAAAGCTTTGACATCCAGAGAAAACTCACCACTAGAGGGGGTTAAAATAATGGTACCTCAGGAAATGAAAGTAGTGGATGTAGCATTTAAACAAAGCACAATAGTGATTTCATTACGCTTGATTAAATCTGGATGTTGGAGTCATAAAGTCTAATAAAGACTAAAAGGCAGAGCGAGAGGGAGGGGGGCCTCACTGATGGAGAAGCAAAGGCTCATTACATAATGGCTAATGGCCTGTGGCTGTGTTTGAACCATCCGAGGGGCTCCGAGACAGAGAGGAAAGATTGCAAACTCTCTAACACACAGATCCAGCAAATACTGTGTTTGTTTTTATACCTGTGTCACTTTCTCCTTGGAGGCAAAGAAGTTATGATAGGTCAGATTGACTGTGTCTGGACCTGAGACGATGGTCAGGGTTTTGGCGAGATGGTTGCTGTCTGGGAAGTCCAGGTTGAACACGTTGCGGACCTTGGGGTGCTGTGAAAAGCCAAAGAAGGAATGAAATGTGCCTCTTCCGTGTGATTCACTGCGATTTTATTCTTGTGAATCAACTCCTCAAATTAATAATTTTCGCTGTTAAAAAAAAACAAATTAAAAGCACATATTGTCTGCACAGATTGGACACCTGGAAGCTTCTTCAGCGCAGGCAAATGTTCTGACCAGAACATGCAAACATATGCACGCTGAGACTCATGCACACTCTTTCACACTCGCAAAGGCGTCCATGCACCCTCCTGCATATGCTGCTCCACAAGCAGATTATTTCTTTGCTACTTTCAGAGCTGCAGAGCTGACGTCAGCACCGGAGCAGCTTTTTCCCAAAAGCCTCCTATTGGTGGTGAGGGGGAGGCAGGAGGAAGCACCCCAAGTGGGATGATGCCGTGCTCTGTGCTCTCCCTGAGGGGAACAGATTTCAGATCTCTCCTCCGCGAGGGAGGACGATGGCTGCATACTGCAACTCTCTGAGGAGGCCGGCGAGGAGCGGAAAAGAACTGAAACTACAACTGTCAGCTTTCAACTCAAAGACAGAGAGAGAGAGAGAAAAAATACACACAAGCTCTCAGAGAAATCTCAGATCATGACTCACTCTGTGGCACAGTGCGTGTTTATGTTTGTTTGTTTGTGTGTCTGTGCGTCCGTGTGTTCCTGTAGTCAGGGAGTAGCCTGGGTACTTGTGTCCACTGCAGTTTTTGCAATGCAAATATGCTTCTCATATTAATGGGCAAACTCAGGGCTTTGCATTTTATTTGCATGCGTGCAGCGATTCTTACACAAGAAGCTCGTCCATTTGGCTTAGTTAGAGGAGATTGTTGGTTACCACAATAGATAATAGCACAGTACTCACTTTGGGAAGTTTTGCATATTTCCCTGTTCTGGTGTCTCTGATGGTAGCAACATCCAGGAATGTTGTCTCCTAGAAACAAGAGGCAGAGAATCATCTTCAATACTAAATTCAACATGTAGGCTCCGGTCCAAATATGGATTGAGATACAAGTCATCCTTTTGGCAAAAAAAACTACGGGGTTTATTTGGTCTGTGTGAAGAATATTTGACTGTATTGTCTTTTAAACATCCGGCAAGAGAAGTGTAGTGGAAAAAATTTTTAAAATATGTGTTTGGAATCCACAACAGCGTGGCAGCACGGTTGAGCCCAGACACATGAAGCACACGTTTGAAGTAGGCTTCACTGAAAAGCAGAAGGTGCCTCAATGAGAGCTAGATAGAGTGGGGAAAAAAAAGAGCACTAAAAGTCCTCTCCGCTGAGTGCATCACCGTCCAGCTGCACAGCGCAACAGGAGTGTGAGCCTCACATCAGCGCCGATCGATAGTCTCCGCAAGCTGCTGGCACCGGAAGGTGGTCAATGAGGCTCTTCGCTGTCCCACAGCTTTGGCGGATTCTAATCACATGCGCATTAGTCACACAGAGGATGTGAATCGGAAGCTCGACTACCTCAACAATGACTTTTCTTTTCTGGACTCTTTAATATTGATTACCTTGCTTTGGTTAATCCAGTAGACGTAGAAACCTTTGGGATCCATCTTCATGGTGACAGGACTGGTCTTTGTTGAGTCCTTAATGGAGACAAGGGAACCGGATTTCACGCAATTTGGACGATTATTCAGTTGAAATCGATGTTGATGTGTTGATGCTAAATTAAACCATTTAGGCTTGTAGCTCTATTTAAGATTATTACTCAGGAAATGAGTGATTCAGGTGTAACAAAAATGTCTCTTACTGAGGAATTTAAAAGAAAAATCTCTGCATATCTTCATATATATGTAGCTACATTTCACCTTATCTGCTCTTATCTTAATTGGAATCTTCACTCACCTCTGACCACTTGGTGAATCTGTCTCCTTTGACCAAGTAGTCCTTGACCTCTGGATGCTCCAGAAAGTACCTTTTCTTATTCATTTTGTCCTTCTACGATAGCTTCTCCTCCAGTTGTAACGCTATAGTTGACATATATCCACTATCTGCGCATCCACCATCGTCAGAAACAGGCTTATCCCTCCATCTGTATCCAAAAGGCGCACTAAACTGGAGTTCATCCGATCTGACCGAGCCGAGGACGCACCTCAAGAAATATGCATTGCAAATGAAGTCAGAAGAAAAAACAAAAAACACATGTAGCACGACTAAAGTAGCTTATAGATTCAGAGCTCTGGATCACAGACAATATGGGGGAAATAAAGGTATTGCAGTGATATGAAATGATCATTTGCATTCATGTCTCCGTCTGAAGCGGTTGTAATTAACTGAGAAACAGCCCATAAGCAATAAAAACTGTTGACACCGTATTCTGTGGTTCGTCCAGAGTAACAGAGACGCCGCTTTTAAACTTTGTCAGAAGAGTCTGAATCACTAAACACCACTTGTGGTAAGTGAGAAAATGTTTTTCTTGTAGCTTCAGCAAACCGACCACTTATCAGGTGATTTTTTGCTTTTCACACCGAAATTTTGAGTTGTCAGCGAACATATCAAGTTTTTTTTTTTCTTTTTTCTGTATTTTTTTATTATTGGCTGCAAAATGAAACATTGGCCACCAGAAATGAAGGATTCATGCCGTCAATCTTCATTTAGTTTATTTAATTACTCCTTTTGCATCATGCAAATGAATGTGTGGTGTGATTGTGGCTTCACGTACTGTTCAGGTTACAATCGCGTGAAGGAGTAAAGCAAATACGTGCCATACATGCAATCCTAATGCACTTTTAAGGGCGGCTGTGGCTCAGGTGGTTGAGTGGGTGTCCTCCAGGGGCAAGGTTGGTGGTTCGATCCCCCTCCGCCCCTCCACAGTCGAAGTGTCCTTGGGCAAGACCCTGAACTGGAAGTTGCTCCCAATGGCAGGCAGCACCTTGCATGGCCGCTCTGTCGCCATTGCTGTATGAATGTGTGTGAATGGGTGAATGAGAAACACACTGTAAAGCGCTTTGAGTGCCACTAAGGTAGAAAAGCGTTATAAGTGCAGTCCATTTACCATTTAATAAGATCGAGTATGCTATTTTCTACTTGAATTTAACTATATTTCATTGGAAATATTGTACTTTTTACATTCATCTGACAACTGTAGTTACTTTACAGCATATTATGTCTTTAAAAACCTGTCGTGACGTAATGAATTATATAAAATACAGTGAATTATACAGTAAATGAAGCCATCTGACTGTAACATGATAAAAAGAGGGAACTCAGTTTCACCTCAGCTCACCTCATCACCTCCATGACAACATTTAAATGCTGCTTAGATGTTCATGTAATATAACAGATATAAATAAAGCACTAAAAAGACCATTTTAATGTATAAATTACCCTTTTTTTGAAGTCCATTTTGCTGATGATACCCACATACTGAAGAGGGACTTTTACATTTTTAAACTGGGGTATTGCAGCTTTTATAGATACTGCTTATTTCAACCACTGCACATTTGCATGAACAGCAAATTCATTTTCTCATCAGCTTAATATGAGTTTATCAAATGATGCCACAACCACCTGTTCAGGTTCACGATGTCATTTATTACTCAAGGCAGCAGAGCGACTGCTGTTTCAACAAAAGCTCCCCCGGTCATTTGGATATCATTCAAATAAACCTTCAGACGGAGCAATATCTAATGCAAACAGTGAGCCAGTCAGGCACCAGAGGAGCGACATCTGGGGAACCTCCGTCAGTTTATTCGAGATACTGATGTGTTTTTTTTAAAAAAGATATTTCAAAAACAACAAGACCAGTAAACACGACATGTCACCTCACAGCTGGTCAGCTCCTCATATCATAAAACACGGTAATGAAATCAAGCAGCCTTCCAGTAAACACATGGATGTTTGTATGTGCGCTGCTTGTCTCACATGGAGACGCCAGTATTAACGGTTCTGAGTGGGAGTGAGTTGAACAGATTAGCTTTGTGCATTTCTAATGGAATGATGCACTTATTCTGCAAAACAGTAGAGTCGCAGAAAAAGTATTATTTTACATATTTACTGTAATAATATTAATGTTAATTTTAAAAAATAGGCCAAGGCTGTAAATAACGACAACATTGAAACTGATATTTTATTAAATTTAATTTTAAAATTAAATTTAAATTTACTTTTTCTTAAACTGTATTTAAATCTACAAAAAAATTTGTCATTTTACAGATATGTGCCATTATCTGAATAAAAAAATATTATATCAAGGACTGAAAAATGGTAAATAATTTCTACTTTATTTTTTAATTTACAGATTTTTACAGTTTTGTTAAATTACAGACACTATCTAGTAAAATCGCAGAAAATTTATGAATTTGCATGTTGACTGAAAAAAAAGCAGGCCTAAACTGCAGATCATAACCACTTCAAAAATGTACAGAATTTCTACAAATTATAATTAATTTTTACAACACCTGACTGTTAAATTACAATTTTTTTTCACTGTATTTAAATCAGCAAAAATTATTAATATTGGTATTTTACAGCTATTTGCTGTTACTTGAAATAACTTTTTAAAATCCATAATACAAATGCTAAGGATTAAAGATAGTAAATATTTTTTGAACTGTTATTTTACAGATTTTACCTGATTTATTTAAATGGAGATAATATCTAGTAAAGTCACAGAAACTAGTATTAATTCACACATTGAACAGGTCTGAGTTTTACCTCATGTCCACATCAAAAATCTGTATTATTATTACAAACTGAAATTTGTTCATTTGTAATATGTGTCCTTAAAATTAAACTGTTTTAATGTCTTTGAATCAGATAAAAACATCACATTTCTGCTGTTAGTTTTCCAGTTTTTGCAGTCTTTGAGTAATACAGCATTCCATCTTTTTTATGTTTATTTTTTGGCCCACTAGCTGCCACATTTTCACTGGTTTCTACCCCAGATTTCTTCCCCAGTGTGAACACAGTATGATGACAGTTCTGAGTTTGATTGGCTGCACAGTTGAAAAGATTAGATTTGTGACAGTCAAGCACAACGCACATTTTCCCTTTGTCTGCTGCTACATGTGGACATGACACATAACAATCCAACCCAAATATATACCTTTAACACCTCAAACAATCAAGTTGATGTAAGAAAAGTCATTTATGAACAAGGAAGTTGGTGCTTCTATGACAATGTGTGTTTTGTTTCCACTTGTGTGACTGACAGTGACCACCACAGGTTCACACATCACTGCTCTGATGTGGCCTCCACCTGTTCCACCTGACAGCCTCCTGGAGGACATGCGCAGTGGCCAATCCGGGTCGCTGTCCATTGTGCTGAAAAGTCGCGCTGTGAGTGGACCAGCCTGCAGGTGAGCGAGGTAAAACCGATCCAGACACACTCTGGGCTGACACATGCAACTTGATGAGCTTTACGCAACTCATAAATGCCCGTCAGAAGCAGGGAGGCTGGTTAATCACCTCTCCGCTTCCCACCAATAGGTGCGCGCAGTGGAGGAGGATGGAGTCACTTGGAAACGCGCTCATCTCCACCACAACATCCTGCCGCCCTCCGTGCGCACAAACAGCGTCCTGATGTGAAGGTGATGTGATTTTTTTTTTTTTTGGTTTCTTCTCGGGCTGCTGCACAGCTGCTGCTTCTTTAAGAGCCACCGCCCGCCCCCTCTCCTGTATTTTTAGCTGAGCCAGCCACTTCATTTGCTGGATAAGACAGACAGTTGTGTACCGTATGATCTCACTTAATCGTTTTAATAAATGACATCAAATCGTATACTGCGGATTCGCTGTGGGCCTCCAGCCAGCTGTTCCCTGGAAATCTGCTCCAGGGCAGACATTTGTCCCGCCGCTGTCGGATGCTGAAGCGCGCAGTCAGCCTGTGGATGCTTGATGTCCATTATGAAACGCTGCGCTGGGTACCAAATATGAGGCGCAGCGCTGGTGAGATCAAATAAATTGGAAGAAATCAATTTAGCTGCAAAAAATCTTGCTGCGCTGCGGACGGCTCAAGGTGGTCCGAGCATCTTTTCTCCTCAGCCCTCCGCTTCCTCTTCTCTTGGACTGTGGATAACAAAAAGCCTTCAAGACGGAGGGGGTGGTGGAGCATCGAGGAAAAAATAGGGGCAATATGAGAGAGCGGGACTTCATGCCCAATATGGAGAGGGGCAAACCTGCTACTTATACGGGGGACAAAAAGGCTAAGATGGCTGCTAAGACTAACAAGAAGTGGGTGAGACTTGCCACTGTTTTTGCATATGTGTTGTCCGTGTCCTTAGCAGCCATTATTCTGGCAATTTACTACAGCCTGATCTGGAAACCCACCAGCGCATCCTCCTCTGCCGGGAAGCCGGGGGTGCCCGAGGAGGTCACCCCCGCCGCAAACATCTCAACTAATATTTCCACGAACAGCAACGTCTCAGAGTGGAACTCTACCACACAGACACGGCTGCTGTCTCTCAACCAGAGCAGGCTGGGCACAACCCCGCACAATCAGGCGTTTCAGTGGGACGACAGAGCCGAGAGAGTGGCCACCGAAATTGCGCACACGCCGCCGCCGCCGCAGCAACAGCAGCAGCGGCAGCAGGAGGAGCAGGACGGACTCTACGCATCTTCCCACGGTCACACAAGCGCGGACAGATCGAGCACTTTGGGCACGGGGACGTCTCACCCGCGGGTGAGCCACTACATCCCGTCGGGCACCGGGGAGTCCGTCGCCGCGCTCGCCGAGGACCAGGAGGAGGAGGAGGAGGTGGAGGAGAGGGAGGCGCACCGGCGAGGAGCGAGCGACGACCCCGAGCAGGCGGCCGCAGATGCTGCCGCTCTGCCTCCGACCTAAGCAGGACGAGCTTTAGAGGATCGGGCCTCATTCCCTCCCTCCCCTCCCCATCACCACACACCCTCTCACATCCGAACTGACCCCCCATCAAAAAGGAGTGTTTGACATACTCAGAGCCGCAGGTCGGATAACACACAGGTTCTCTAAAACTGCAGAGCCCCTTCTGGATGCTGAACTGCACATATGAACTGATGATCTTGCTTTTACGGCTGAGAAAAGAGGAGATCTCTTTTCTTCTGTGAACACTGTTTCCCCCTCCTTAACTATGCGTTTTTTTTTTCCCCCTTCCCATTTTTATTCTGGGTTCTAGGCCATCTGTATGCCTTAAATCAATGTGTGTCTACTTTACCTCGGACAGCTCTTGAGGCCACTAACCTGCCTGTAACGTGTGGACAACACTGATATAGATATTTTGTTAAATTGATAGGGCACAGGCTCCAGAGATGCTTTTTTTTTGGTTTTGCCACACAGACGTGAATATGTCTCACAGGCATAACAACATCACTGCCATTCATCGGAGGGTTTTATTCAATACTGCATTGTTGCATTTTAACATATAGGCTGTATTTTTTTCATGGATCAAACCCTGGATTCCGAGTAGAAGGACCTGCATTATTGAGTTATGCTCAGGTATGTGCATATAACCATGTAAATGTATTGTGTATTTGGTTATGTACATATTGGGCAGGCATACATCTTTTGGCCTTGATTGACTTTTAGTGTAATTAGATGATTTTTATTAAAGGTACAGTATGTATAATAGGTATAACTATATCACAAGGTACAAATAAACACCCTTAGACAATGATTCATTTCTATGGTTTTATAAAAGATCTCTGTAAGTCAAGAATGAATCCCTGACATTATCATGTATGTTGATATTTTATTTATTCAGAGCCATGCTGGATAATATAGATTCGAATAAATGTTAGGTTTTTCCTAACATCTCACATTTCGTCTCTGAAAAAATGGATTTAAATGAGCAGCGGCTCAGTTCAGAGTGTAGCAATAATTATTGATTGATATGAAGGCGTGGGTTCAACAGAAATAATAGCAGAGCCAGCACAAAGAGGGCCCGCTTTATGATCGGCCTCGTGATCCGAGCGTTTAATCAGATTTTGTCGGAGGCCCTTTAATTACCTGAGTGAACTGTCCAGTTTGTGATCACAGGCACCGTCTGCTGCTCACCGAGAGAGAAGCATTCATCTCCCAGTCTGCCACAGCTCAGTGGATGCATCTCTCACTGAAACCACTTCACACAGTCACATGTGGTGAACTATGAAGTGGAAATAAGACCAACCACCCCGTGCGCTCTCTCAGCAGCATGTGAGGGAGGTGTATTGATTTGAGAGCTCTGTTGTTGCACTGTACAAAACAGAGGAGAACGCATTACACAATGCCGCTTGGTGCTATTTTGATCCAGCTCTCTCTGAAAAGGATTGTTTGGCTGAAAGGTTTGGATTCTGTGCCGGCGGTGACAAGCATCATTCACTATCACACTCCAAATAAAGACACTTGATTCCAGTTGAGCAGCCAGTGCCTCGCAAACGCTGCACCGTGATGTAAACGCAGATGACATGCATTGTTGTGTTAATGTGACAGATTTTCCGTGGCAAAGCCAAGGTATGTGTCTGCTGCGCTGAATAGGAAGCGCATTCATCAGGAAAGGCAGCACAAGACGCAAACATCCAATATAATCACAAAGCAAACCGTGCGTACCAGAAAAAAAACGTAATCCAGAGTGTGCATAACGCAGCGACAGGCCTGTCAATACCGCGGTGGCCTCTGCTCACAGGACGGCTTTGACAGATGTGTTTCCACCGCCTCGTATAGCTTCTTGTAATGTATGAGAGCAATGACTGACCTATTGATGAATGAGTTCATCTGGACTGACATTTATTGCTGGAAGCCCCATCTGAGTCAGGATACAGCGTCTGACCTTCTGACTCTTGAACCTCGTCACCCAGGTAGCTGATTGCATTATCTGATGTGAAATCAGTCATACGCCGCATATGAGTTCAGCATGAGATTAATTTCTTTTGTGGTTCAAGCCAGGCGATGGATGACAGGCTCACGGCAGAGATGAAAAGAGACACCACATTTAGTAAATCATGAAATATATATAAACATAAAAGACGGTAGCTGTCTATGCCGTTCTTTTTATAAATGCAGCAGTTTAACTCCTGGCAGTTGTCGTCACTTTGATATCAGATTAAAAATTCAATCATCAACCCAACAAAGATTTCTCAGGATTGAAACTGCTATTAATGTGAATGACAAAGCAGTGGAGCGTCTGTGTGAAGACGTTCAGACACAGAAATGTGTCCCATACGTTCTGCACAGTGACTGTAAAACAAGCAATTAAAACTAACTGCAAAAAAACACAATTCTGAGTGTAGACAGACTTAAAAGTTCTGCTCTCCAGAAGTTCTTTTCCCTCATCAGGTTCGACAGAACATATTACAAGCAAGAGACCTTTCAGCAAAGCCGGAGGAATTAAAGGCCCTTCAATACGGCATTGTTTGAGCAAGACGGCGTCACAAAAGTTGTGAAATATGAACATGTTGTCGTGCGGCACGGTGGAACAATGAGAAGGCAGCAAACAAGAGCGTTTTCAATTAATAAAAGGGCAAAAGTGTGGAGCTATGCATTATGGAACAAAAGTGGAGCTGTAGGTAGACGGGGGAATTTAATAATAGCCTTGCCTCCAGACTTGAAGACTTTAAAAAATACATGGGATTCATTTTCAAATCACTTACAGGAGAAAAACACTGACGCAGGCTGACGAACCAGTAGCTGTGACGTACACGGTCAAAACACATGGAGAGTATCACCAAAGTTAGAGTTCACCAAAACATAAGTGAGATATCATACGTCATTGTTTGGAATACAACTGGAAACGATTTAAAATGTGTTTGGTCAGTCGGTGGAGGTCAAAAGGTCAACAAATAGGCCTGAAGTGATGTTATATTCACCTCAAGTTTCAGCTGATTGAATCGCTCACTGCAGATACAATTGCTATTTAATAGCAATGTGTCACTATAATTATTAAAATTAGAATATTTTCATAATCTGCTAAGTAAAAATCCCCTTCGATGTATAAGCTGCAACATGTTGCTGTAGACGGATGGCAAACGGATGATCCAACACACCGCGATGAGGTTGCTTATTCCAACTCAGTTTTTAATCTCATTTCCATCTATCCATGGAGCTGCTTTATCCTGTAGAGCAGGGGTGTCGAATCCTGGTCCTCGAGGGCCGCAATCCTGCAAGTTTTAGATGTTTCCCTCTTCCAACACACCTGATTCAAATTATCAGGATGGTTATCAGGCTTCTGCAGAGTTTGATGATGAGCTGAGGTCATCACAGAGTTAACAAAAAAAGACTCTCGCTTTCACATCTAAGAATCACCAGTTAGCCTTCTGTGAATGTTTTTGAACTGCGGGAGGAAGAAAATCCATGCAGGTGCAGGGAAACATGCAAACCCCTCATAGAAAGCCCCCAGCTGACCTGCAGGGTCAGACCATCTCACTGTGAGGTGACAGTGCTAACAAACATTTCCATACATTTATAAAAAGCTTTGTATAAAGTGACGAGCTTGGATTTGTTTAAATGATGCTGAGATCAATATGGCAGACAGCAGGTGGACATCTTGTCAGCCTCCTGTCTCCAGGCTGGAGGGAGAGAGAGGTGGGGGGCTATGCTCGATCGGGGCAGCTGCTGAGGTGTGGTTAACATACTGAACCATGACAGGGCCGAGGGGGGGGTGGGATGACGCACATGCTCAGTGGGGACTGCCAACCTGTCAGGTTCTGGCAGGGTCGCAGGGCCGGGCCAGATCCAGCCTCCGCTTAACCTGCATCCATCAGCTGTAATGAAACACCTCGAGAGCCTCCGACTGTTAACCTCGCCGCGCTTATGCCTCGGCTAATAGAAGGTGTCACCAACCCAGGCAGCAGAGCAAGTGATCGCTTCAAGCTTTTCCTTGCAGTAATCGGTTATTTTTGCATTCTTGCAGAGAGTTAGATAAGGAGAACGATACCCCTCTTATGTCTGTCAAGTAAATGTAGAGCTGGAGCCTGATAGCTTAGCTCAGCACAGAGACCGGGAGGAAGGGGAACCAGCTAGTCCTGCTCTGTTCAGAGAAAACTACCACCAGCATCTCCAAAGCTCACTGATTAAAATATTATATCTTGTTTGTTTAATTTGTGGTTTTGTGTTGGGCACTTGTTGAAACCAGCAGACTGCAAGAAGTTCTGGTAGCGTAGTCCAGCACATAAACCCTGTAATACCACTGCATGTTCAGCTTCTGTGCAAATATTTATTGATCATTAGTGATATTTAAGGTTGCCAGTTTTGACAGATTCTCTTACCTTTGGACGAGGGTGACACTGCTGGCTAAAGCTTTACATTTACTGGACAGATGTGAAAGTTTTACTGATTTTTCCGTTTGTCCCCGAAATGTAGAACTGCTGCTTTAACCCCAACACTAACCCCGAGCATCAGCATCACAGCCCGATGTAGTTATTTTTGGATTTGAAAGACAGCTATTGTCAGACAACTTTTTTTCTCGAAGCCGCAAATTTCAAACCCGGCCCCAAAACAAAAGGCTGTTGTTGCACACAGAAGCCGGCTCCTGTGTGATCCGCGATGACAGGCCTCGGCACCACCTTCCTTTAAAGCTGCTTTGACCAAACATTCAGCTTTTATATTTGATTCTTTTTTTTTTTTTTCCTCCTCAGGAAAGCAAGCTTCTGAAGCTCCACTGCAGAGAGCAGCTGACATAATCCTACACTGCACTTCAATCCTCTAACAGCCTACAGGACTTATTTCCATAATATCAACACCCCCACTGTAGTGTACTAGTGTGTCAAACCCTTCAAACTATTAGTTAGCTTAGCACCAACGTGAATCAGGAGTGTTACGGACTCAAATAATGGGTTTCATAATGTCCTGTGCAGAGATTTAAAAATAAAAAGATAAAACCAGGCTTTAAATGAGCGAAGCATTTCGGTGCGCTTTCACGGAGGCTGTTGTGCAGCAGGTACAAGCCCCAGAGTCTCAGTGGCAGAAGGCTGCTATGGAGATGGCCTTGGGAGGAGATAATTAAAATAGTAGCACCTATGGGAGGTCCCACCTGCAGGGCTCAGAGGGAGCCGTCTCCACTGTAACAGCCCTGCAGAGAGTTCATCCGAAATTAATCAAACCCAACGTGAAGGCAGACTCAGTGGACTGAGATCAACCTTAATGGACTGCTGATGCGGTGGGTCGCATCTGCCCCGTTGTTTCTTAAGATATAAAAACTGTAGAGAATGAATTTGTGTGCTGTGTATAGCATCAGGAAGTGAGGAGACAATGGGTAACAGAGGGTGACAGTCAGCGGGCAGTTTGAGGGCAGATGACGAGGAGGATGTCGTCCTTTTTGTTAGTAAAATGACCAAAATGCATCCCTCCCCCCCTTTGTACTGTGTGCATATTGGTTGGTGGTGTGGCAGAAATCACCCAACAAAACAACGGCCAGTCGTTTTTGAAATACAGAAAAACTTTATTGATGATCGGTACGCCTCCTTCAACATTGCTCTACAGTAAATGAAGCCATGTTGCACACAGATTCAAATTAGCGTGAGCACTCTGAACAGCAAAAAGCTGCGAGCACACCTCCAGACACGCACTCATCCACAGGCACGCGCAAGTATTCCTTCCTTATGAGTGTACGTGAACACACGGAGGACAGTGGTACACACCCAGGACAATCACAACCACCTCTTCAGTTTCAAAGAGGGTGATCATGCAGATGTCTAACAGCTAAACAAACACGTACTAAACGAGGACACGTAACGTACAACTTCTCAATGATTGTAGGTCCTAAATTTCATTTTACTAAATTGAATCCCACAGGGAGTTTTAAATACTTCAGAGGTAATCGATGACCTGTTTTTCAAACAGATGTTTCCTTCATCACTCATTCACCATCCACGTATAATACAGAATAAGGCCCCTACTCGCACGTTTTGCTCTCTTAATGGATGGATTGGCTTCGAACGTCGGGTTTGCTGCTTCGTTTTTCCCCCCAGTGTGCTTCCGATAGTTTCCTGATTACTTGTATTTTATGTAACCACAGTTGAAGCTGACAGAACCCTGCAGCTCCGAGCATGTCCACTGTGTTCTCTACTAAACGGTTACATAACTGTTTACTATACTGTAGCGTTGACGAAAGCCAAAAACTTCTTTGAGGACAGAGTTCTTCTTCTTGTAAGGCGTCTTATTATAGTCGTCACTTGATACCAAAAGAAATAAAACATCAGAGGCAATAAATAAAACCGTACATGGCACAGAGAAACACAAGACATCGTTTCAAAATAGTTTTAGAATTGCAAACTCATTCTAGGTAACATTCTGTTTGTCCAAACGGAGAGGCAAATAAATAAAAAGAAACGAGGCTGCGCTGTCGGCACAGTACATGAAACAGTTATGATACAAACCACGAAATTAAGGTACACCTTCAATATTTGAAGAAGCCAATATGCAAGGCACAACAACTGGCTAAGTTCTTAATTAAGGGAAGCTGTCTTGACAATATTAGCTGTCTTTCATGATTGTAATACGGAACAAATGAAAACACCAGAAAGGGAATTACAGCTGAATCCCAGCAAAGGGCTGAACTCTCGCCGACCTGGATGACCCAAGTTAGTCAGTCCCTCTGAGGCTAAAAAAAACACGCTTCTGTACCGGGACTCTCATGACTGTTTGCTAGAAAACAGCACATGCAAACCATTTAAAAAACACTATTTTACTTACCCGATTGGTTTTTGATTCACAAGCTTGACTTTCATGTCCTAAATTTGTAATATCAAAGAAGCTAAATCCGTATTAAGTGCCTAAAACACGGCATAATAGGAGTCTGAGGAAGACCAGATAACTGGGATTCAGCTGTAAAACCGTGCGGACTTTAAGACAGCAGTGTGTCAAGATATTAGTTATGTGGTGTTATTGATCATTTGTTATGATGTCTCTCTGAACAGCAGTATTTTTTTTAGCTGATGCTTTAGCTTAATATCAAAGGGGCACTCCGGTGAGTTACATGATGCACATAATGCAACAATCGGGGCTTATAATGCAGCCGGCCATCGATTTCCATTTAGGATTCATTCAATGCTAAATAAAAATCAATGGGAGAAGTCTCTAACGCCAAAGACGGCCCTCCCAAAAGTCAATTATATGCTTTATAACAGCTGACCGGAGGAACATCAGTGTCTTGAAGCTGTATGCATGCGTAGTTGAAGCGTAACTTGTGGGAAAAACCTGTTTGTACTTAATTTTGTGACGAAATCAACATCTAGACATGCAGCTTGACATTGCAGGTTTGGTTCTCGAGTGGTGAGACTTGCCTATAAAGCCTTTACTTAACAGCCCTTCTTCACTAAACCCTCTCTGCCTGGTAAACGCCAGCTCCCAGGTTAGAAATCTACAATCTCCAAATCCATATAACCTTGTTTGAAGGACATCTTTTAACTTGATAAAGTTCCTTCAGAGCCACAGAAGACACGACACAGCAGCACTGACCAACAGGAGTAAACTGAGCCCGATATGTAAAATCATCAGAGTGCCCCTTTAAATTCCTTAAAAACAGAAAACATTTACGTCAGTAGTCACATTTTTTGAAAACTTTGGAAACAGTGTCCTGGTCATTAGCCAAAGACAATAAGCTCCAAATGTGCGCTTTAACAAGGTATTGATTTCTTATTTGTGAAAGGCCATTGACTGATGCTGGAAGCGGTTAATAAATAACATCTACTCACACAGTTTAGAGCGTAGAAACACAGACTCTACTGCTGGTCTGCGACTAATGTATCGTCATATGATACAGACTTTTTTTTTGTTTTTTTTTTCACTTATTCAAAAAACCTCTAAGGCAGAATCAGGCACTAGAAAATTTGACTGTGGCTTAGTTTATTGTCAAGGGCTACCTAAGTGAAAGGGGTTAGCTAGCCTCCTGATATGTACCTTGAAATCTTCATACAAATGTAAACATTCAATGATATTGCACTCAAGCAGCATACTAACATACTGAAGGATGTGTCAGTACACAGACTTTTATACTCATAAAGTGCTTGGATGTAAAAAATATTCGAGCGGGGGGACATGTCCGGAGGGGGGACACTCCTCGCCATTCCTATGTCGAATTGGAGCTAAAACTTCCACAGGTGGGACACAGCAAAAAAAATGAAACCATGGTTTTTGCTCATAAGCTGTAAGCGGTGGTATCTCAAATGAGCTACCTGAAGCAAGATAATGCATCCAAATGCTGTGTTTTGGTTTCGGTATTTACATCCCCAAAAAAATCAAACAATCTTCCCATGCTCTCTCGCCTGTAGGGAAAAAAAGAGAGAAAAATGTACATTACTAGTTTAAACTTTGATTTTTTCCACCCCCCCCCCGCCCTGTAATTTATGTATTTCATGAGCATCACTTCTCCATATGAATGATTCAAACATGCGGTCAGACGGCATATCAGTGACGATGAGATGAAGTGGCGTTTTCTCACGAGACTATTTATGCTGCTCTCCATCAGGCCTCAGAGGAGACGAATATACTTGAATCAAAATTGGATAACACGCAGCTGCAGTGCAGATATACTTGCGTATCTCTGTCGCTCTTCATCTATTTACCCACTCATCCATTTGCACCTTCCCTGCATCAGTCCATTCACACGTCTATTGACTGACTCCCGTCCCTCTGAGCATCTCTTATACTGACCTTGTCGCTGCTGGTGGAGTGTGTCGGGTGCGTTTCTCCTGACTCCAGGCTCAGGACGGACAAGCCGGAGTCTATTAGTTCCTCTATGAAATGAAAACCAACGTGAGTTCACTCATGTTCCATCTACATGTACCGACGGAGAGGTCACTGAAGCTGTTGCATACCTGTGTTCGTGTTGCTGATGTTGCACTTGGCGAGCTCCACAGGCTGGACAGAGGTCTCGTGTAGAGAGGAGCAGGCTTTTTCAGCAGGAGGGGAGCTGGGAGCTGTGGGGGGATTGCTGTCCTTTTTAGTGCATTCAGTCTCAGTAGCCTGCTGCTGGGTAACAGGAGGAGCAGATGGACCACCGCCTTTATCCTGAGGACTACCATCATCCTGCTTGGCACTTTCAAGAGGCTGCCCCTGTTCTTCATGCTTGAGCTTTTTCGGCGAGTAAGCTTTTAAAGAGCTCGGATTTCTGGATTCTGAGTCTTGAGCTGCTTGCCTTGCGTGAGCCCCTTGGATGAGTTCCTCTGAGAAGCGCACTTTCTTCTCCGAACCCCGAGGGGACGAGGCCTCGGCCTTCCCCTGAGTCGGGGTGTCCTCTCTCGAGCTGGAAGCCGACACCGGGTCTCCGCTCACTTCCTCAGGCAGCGAGTCTGGGCTGGATGACAGCTTCGTTTTCGTGTCCTGATCTTTCAGATCCTCCAAGTCGGCATCTGTGAGGGCGTCGAGTTCCTCCAGGAATTCCTCCAGCGTTGTGTCAGAAGTCTAAGAGATGAGATTACAACAGCCTTGTTGGGTGTCTTTTTCTAATGCGTGCGGTTTACATTTACACTCAGGTTTGGTCTCTCACCTGCGGGTTCTCTCCGTCATCGTTTGCCTGCCATCTGAAAAACACAGACTTCTGTCAAAAGATATTCAGTAATATGCACAAGTAATCTGTGGTAAATCTGTTAGTCTTCTGCCTGTTACAATGTGCTGTAACACTGCATAATCAAGTAAGAGAAAGCAAGAGGAAAGCAGCGATAGAGGGATGTAGTACGTTTGATTCTCATGCTCACACACCGATGGCCACCACACAAGGTGAGAGTGAGACCACTGGGAGCAATCTGAGGCTCAGTTCCTTGCTCAGGGACACTCTGACATAAGGGAAGGTGGAGCTGTGATTAGACATAGTGGCTCAATCTTCAGCGCCACAGGTCTCAGGTGTTGTCGTCTTAAGTAGCCTGTGGGTTGTCTCTCACCACACGCCACTCTGTTGCCAACTGTGATCGCAGAAACAAGAATGTCACCAGAAACACCTGAGTGCTGTTTTGCAGACTCCCCTGACCCTCACCTACATCTGAGACGTACAAACAGAAGATCATCTGTCACATTACACCTTCACACTTGTAGTGTAAAATCCCTCACTTCCACGTCTTGTTGGCTTTTTCAGATCATGAGCAATGCTGGTGTGACAGCCTCCTCACCACCCAGCACAGCAGGAGAAGAACAGCTGAATGCAGTGGTGAGACATGAATGAGGCCTTCTGGGTTATTTAGTCAGCTGCAACTGCATCTGCATCGTGTCTCATGACATCCAGAGGAGTTTGTACATTAGGGCACGGAGCAGGAAAACAACATGCATTCCCACATCCGCTTTATGCATTACATTAGTCATTGTGATTTTTTTCCTACAACAATGAACCGAGGCTGTGGTGAGAGACGTCCCAGCGGTCGGATTCAACTTTAACATCAGGCTGTTGTGTGCAAGTCCCGAAAGCAGCTCATGCTCAGCTGTTACTGACCTCCTGGCCCTCCCGGTCAGACGATCCTTGCCTTTTGCTTTGCTGCTCATCACCAGCACGTTTTTAGCTCCCTTGTCTTTGCCTCGCTTGTCGTGACCTAGGACAGAAGAACATTTAAAGTCTAAGGCTTTGGGAACATTTTAAGGGAATAAACTATCTGATAAATAATGAGCAGGATACCTCTTGAGTCACCGCCTGACCTGGGTTGTCCTCTTCTAGCATTTCTTCCACCTGGAAGAATGAAACCCAATTTTTTTATCACCATGTATTGATGTTAAAAAATGTTCTCAGTTTAGTCTGTGTTAGTGTCTCACCTCGGCTGGAAGGACCCCAGTCTCTGTCAGGGAGGGATTTGTCTGAAAACCTAAAGCAGAGACTCAGTTCAGACAGGTAACAAAACCCACTACAAGCAGTGTCTTGGTCATGATTCACTTCCAGCCGTGTATCTACAGTCCACCCCATAAACAGGCTCCTCAGACATTTCCTTAGTATGACTGAACATTTATTACGGGCCTACAATTTGAGATTTCGCAGAACCAATAAGAGGATTTGCTCTTCCACGAGTCACACCCCTACATTTCACATCCACCGAGGCCATGTAAATCGTCGAATCGAAAACACATTTCCTCGTCTGTTCTTACTCGAGGGCCTTGTTTAAGCTTCGCCAAATAAGGCAAGGCATTCCATCCCTTATCCCGAGCTAAAAATAGCCTCTCCTCCCTTGTCTCTTTACATTTTGATGCTTCCTTAAACAGCACATTAATTCGCTCTGCAACTTAGTCACTATTTGTACTTTGGCTCGGTTTGTTTGAAATCTAACAAACACTTCAAATTAATGGGTTGTATTTTTTTTTTTCCTGCAGTCAGTTTGGGCCGCTATTGTGTGATTTCACAAAGAAACGGGATAGCAGGCTGTGGGATCATAGAGAGGGTTTAATTGCTTTAATGTGCGGCTCATAGGTTCATTTCAAAAGAAAAGAAAGATGTGAATCTTTGAAATTTAAGCGCACACAACGTAAATCATGGCAACATACCATTGCATACTGTTTACATACTGATGCAACTTGCATGAAAAGTAATTATTTGGTGATGTTAACGTTGTGCAACATCCTGTGACTTGATGCGGATTAGTCTTGTGATGGTGTGGTGGAACATGCAGTCCAGATAGCTCATCTAATGGATTCTTCCACTGAATAATCTAAACAGAAAGAAGCATGCTGTTCTTCAAGCTTACTTTCCCCTCTCATCATCTGCACTAGAAGTGAATTAAGCCTTTCACTGATGTAAGAAGCAAACGATGGAAAGGAAAAATTAGCAGAACTTAATTACTTATTCAAAAATAACTGCTTCTAGGTGGACGAGCAGCTAATGAAGATGGTAATTTAGCAGACCACAACAGAATCAAGGTATTTTTAAAGAAATAGTTGGTTAGATGAGTAGATTGACACTATTCTCATGTCGGAATGTTAAATATGAAACTACAACCAGGAGGCAGTTAGCTTAGCTTAGCATAAGGGCTAAAAGCTTGGGAAACTAGCACATCTAATGCTGACTAGTTAACATCTTATTTGTTACAGCCTTTTAAAAAAAAAAAAGGTAAAGGTGTAAAAATATCAGTGTGTATTCAAGAAAAATTTTATCTTTAGCACTGAACAACCACAGATTTTACTGTTTTTACGTTTTTATTGCTGTGCAAATTGAACACCGAACATATAACGTGATAATTTGTGATTTTTAGAGGTCTATCTTGCACAGAGCCAGACTCGCATTTCTAGTCACTAGTTCCAGTCTTTATGCTAAGCTAAGCTAAGCTAAGCCGACGGATATGATGAGATATCAGATATGCTTTCTTGCTAAGACCTCGGCAAAAGGCACATGCCAAACGATTGCTTTAAGAAAACAGCGACTGAACTGTGTCATGTAAAGGTTAAAGAATGTTAAATCTTGTTTTATAAGAAACTGTAGGACAACAGAGATTGAAGGCTAGTAATTAGCATAGACTGTAAATAAAAGAAGGATGCAACCTCGAAAGTCTCAAAAGTCTCAAAAGTCAACAGCGAAGTGCCTTAAACCTGTGTTCTTTCTGATGACCAGCAGGGGGCGACACCTTTGGTTGCAAAAGACTGATTGTGTTGAATTCTATGAGAAACTGACCCTAGTTCCAACTTGATTTCCCAGCTCAGTAAACATTTTTCTAATGCATTTATGGTCTAAATTGTTAGTTTCGAGCCTACCTTAACATTTTTTATAAATTATGGACCCATTTGGAGGAAAATAAATGAATAAACAGGACAAGTTTTGTGATAAATAAGTCACTACCATATGGGCATGTGTAATGTCCTCAGGTTCTCAGTCAGAACCATCCCTCACCCCTTATGTCTGGTTTCAAAAGAGCAAGACGGCGATGGGTAAAATACAAAACTTAAGGCTCTAGAATGATAGACCAATGAGTGGCGTCACAGTAGCTACGTCCACCTTTTATACACAGTCTCTAGAAGTTAAAGCCGTGAATCTATGGCCAGAAGGATGAAATGGATTTGGAAAGTGGACAAATAATACTATTCTCTTCTTTATCAGCTACCACTCAGCAAAAACGGAAGATGAAATGTGAAACTGTGCATTTGTGGATTAATTCAACATATTCATTCAGCATCTGCTAGTTAACAAACTGAATGTTTCCAGTCTGAAATAGCACCAAGAGGGAACCAGTGAAGTTTGAAACTAGAGGAGCAGCTGTGGGAAATCTACTGCATTAGCAGATAAAGTGTCTTGGGAAAGCTGGGTGCTTAAAATTCTTACATGTTCTCAGTTTTGTCCATGTCCCACGCCCGTCTCCACTGGCCCTTAGCGTTTTTATGGCGCGCCACCCTTTCCCTGTCAATCTGCTCGCGCTCTTTCTTCCACCGCAGATACTCCTCCTGCTCCTCCCTCGATGTGGGGATGTTGAGGTCTGTGCTTGCCTGCGGGTTCTCAGGCTCCTATGTGGGCACAAGACACTTTGGTGGATTTTACTGCATTAAAAACAAGCAGCTCTCTTAATGGAGCAACGGCAGTGAAACATGACTAAACAGCCCTCGGAGTGTCACATTGTAACGAATCACTTTACACACCAATCAGTGGACGGGACAGGCTCACATGAAGCATGGGTGGCCGTGAATAAAAATAGCTTGTCATAAATAGACAAATAATAAAACAGCGACAGGGCAAACAAAAATATTTCTGGTATTTTAACGCCGTCTGCTTCACTTAAAATGTCAAAAAGCTGCCTCACTGTAAATACTAATAAACTATATTCCAGGAAAAGTGCCATGTACAGTTAATGCAATTAGGTCCCTTTCCATCATTTCCCTCCTAACGTGTTTATTGATCACCGGGATGGGAGCAGAGAGGATTGCTCGTTAGTACTAAACGGAGATCTGATACAAGCTCTTTAACACATCAAAAGGGACAGAGGCCGTGAGCTCATGTTACACAGAGCAAACCAGGACGCTGCCCTCTGATTGGAAAATCACGTAAAAGACCAGCAGTCTGCCAGTGAAAGAGCTCATCAGCTTGACAGCAGGAGGCAGGGTATGTTGCTGTCTGGAGGAAAATGTAAATTGTGCAGTTTTTGAGTAAAAAAAAACCTCCACATGCTGCTCTACATATTCAGCCTCAAAGCAACAGTGAGAGAAACAGACACAGTGCCGGGAAGAAGCTGTTGTGGGTCATGTTTTCCTCTCAGGTGTGGACCAATCGCAGCGAAGTAAACATGTTGCCTTCCTGCGCACGGTTTTCAGAGAACATGGCATATGTGCTCATCCCTGTTTTCCGTCTCCTCTCTCCTCCCTCTCCTCTGCCCCTCAGAGGACGTCCGGGGCCGCGCGGGAAGCCACTTCTCACATGTTCCAACAGGCCGTCTCCTGCTGCCACCCCGCTAATTAGAGCTTTTTCGATTTTCTCGCCTCCGTGGGGCCCCGCGGGGACGTTGCCAGGGGCCCAAATCAGGTAGGATGGACACTACAACATGAATCCGGCCAGTGGAGAAACCATGCTCTTACTCTGAACCTCCAGCAGCTGCACAAGTTCAGGTCTAAAAGAGGTTTACAGCATATCTGTTAACCAAAACAAAGCCAAGACACTCTAATCCCTTACGCAACCCAGTATGGTATTTCCTTGAGCGCTCGCCGGGCCCAGACTGCAGAGCAGGCAAGGTACAGAGAGCCAGAGAGGCATGAACAGCATCACTTGTCATGTGGCGTATTTGCCCCGGCCTTTGAAGCCCGTTCTCCCTGCCTCCCCAGTCGGCCTGTTTATCGCACGCCTGATCTGTGAGACAGCTCTGAGCTACTCCAGCAACGTTAACACGCAAGCCAGCGGGAGGCAGATGGGGACAAGCACTAGAGAAAGAGGGGTGTGCATGGCAACGTGTTGTGCCTGTCTGTGTGTGTCTGTTGGTGATGAGGGTAGAGCGCATATTTGCATTTGCATCTCTCTGTGCTTTTGTGCACCGTGGCGCTGTCATATGGGAACCTTGTATTCCAATTTGTATTCCTTCCAGTGAACCATGTGGTAATTATGAGCTCAAGTCCTCCAGACTCGTGGGTTTCCTCAAGCTGATGTTTTAGAGATTGAATAAAAATGTCCGTTTACCTGGCATTGTTCTGACGCTCTGAGATGCTCCTCGGTGTGCTTCTGCCCCTGTTTAACCTCATCCTGTCAGAGAGGAGATATGAAAAAGAACAATAAGAGTGAGACAGCAACTCGATTTATACATGGTTGTGAAGGGTCACATTACAGCTGCCATAAACAGTAAAAAAGAAAACCAAGCGAAGGCACAGATTCATTCAGATTTAGAAGCCTACACTGCCTCCAAGTGGTTCGAAAACGGAACAGCTCGACGTGGCACAAGAGGATCATCCACTCTGCCTGAGGGTCATCAGAGCAGACTGCAGTTTGCAGGTAGCTAAACAGGGAAACGACACAGCGATTTGGAAAACCGAACTCATCGTATTGCAGGTAGAGAACTGTGTGAACTTTGGTTCTGGTGCATCTCTGATGGCAAAGATGCGCTCCGGTGAACACGGAGGATGAGTCATGTTGCCATTAACGGCAACACTTGAACAGCCGAGGGGGTAAAAGATGATAAACAGCGGACAAAGCGGTCTGGCAGCGCACCTACAGGCAGCGACGCCCACGTACTCGCTCACACCTAGATGCACATGCACAAACACAAAAAGACCCCCCCGACTACCTTGCTCTCTCTTTTCTTGTGTCTCCTCGCACTCCTTCTTCCTCTCCCTCTCTGACTCTTTCCTGGCACCTCGCCAGGTCCGTTTCTTTGGCAGCATAATGAGCCTTTTCAGAGTGAGAAGGCAGTTGAATGTTAATTAGATCAAATCGGCCCTTTCAGGATGGTGGGAATAGGGAAACAATCGTGCCAGAGGAGTGTAGACCACTTAAAGTTTCAGAGGGGAGAAACGGAGGCTGGAAACAGACGGTGGGTTGCCAGTAGTATCCCCCCTTTTGTTCCTCTCACTCCCTCTACGTTTCCTTGCTCCCGTCTTTTCTCCCCCCTCATGGGTGCGAACAGACAGTCTAGTCACGCGGTGCTTCCAGGCATTACAATCTGCCCGGGACACTGCCTGATTACCACACCCCTCTCACAGAGTCATTATTTATTTCCAGGGTGGCTCTCTCGCTCTAACACACACACTCATTAGTAAAATATTTCAGAGGCAGGGCAAAGCGGTAGCAATGTTCAGTTTTGTCATGGATCTTTTCTACACAAACATTTTTCTAACGGTTGTCGGATCCATGACATGTTCTCCTCCGGTATCGCCCTTTTGCAGCACTCTCACCCGCTGCCTCTCACAAACCGTGTTAAATGATACTGGTTATGTAAACAGCAACCATGTGGAAACCAGGTCTCTGGGATTCACAGATGACTGGTGCACTGGAGCGTTGGCTACCGTTCAAGTGCTGATTCAGTCCACACGATAAATAAAAGGGGGACAGACCTAGCGGGCCATAAATAAAGGCAAGAGAACAGTGTGTTCATCCCATAGATTTAGTGCACATTAACTCTGGCATCCCGGCGAGCAGCCAATCAGATGCACACATACATATTTAGACTGAGCCTCCACTGCCGCCGTCGCCGCCTCTGTTGTTGTGTCCGGAGACCCCCTCCCACGGCCAGACTGTGACTGAGTTTACAGTGGTGAGGATCAGCTGCCTCTGCATCGGCTTATTGATTGAGCGGCTTGTGTGAGTGTTTCTGAGTGTGTTTGTGTGTGTTGTCTGTGCGTCAGGCTTCAGATTGAGGCAGAGCAGCTGTTCCAGAGTTTCTGCATACCCGGGGGGCCTAAGGTCAGTGACAGTGTGGCATTTCACAGCCCAGCCAGGGGTACCGCATGTGCACATGTGTCTCTGCCTGTCTGTGTTAAATATGGGCTCTGGAATAAACCACAGCATGCAGCGGAGTTAGTGATGCCAAGCGAGATATCCAGTCTCGTTATAATGTAAATAAATATATTAAAAGACCTTACTCTCTGTGCTGCTTGCTCCACACAACCAGAGGCCTTCACACCCAGAGAGCAATCAATGATTCTCGTGCTAAAAATACAACAAAAGCAACAGCAATCGCAGCTGAGCAGACGAACGAAAACTTGGTTCGACTCAACCGACAGCTCTATTAGCAACACCCTTTTCTCTAATCCCAGTCAGTCACAGCCCAGGTCCACCTCCCATCCACAAACCATTGTGCTCCATCACTGGAGGGGACGGGCCAGCCCACATGTCTGACATCTATGTAAAACACATCGGTGCAGCACGAGACAATAAACAAAGGGGGGAACGGGAGAGTGGAAGCAGACAGGAGGGGGCAGCTTTTTAAACACCGTGATCGCTGGAGTGTTCAGTGTGTCTGAATCAGACCTGTGCTGCTGCTGCTGCTGCTTCTCTCTTGGTCATGTGAGACGGCTGCTTCCCCCTCCCCGCTGACTCCACACGCCTCGCCTGTCCGTCATCGGTCGGGCTCTTGACGTCTGCAGGGCCCGGCCTCTTCTCTGGCTTCTCGCTCACCACCCTCTTACCCTGCAGAGACAGTTACTCACATTAGATATCATAACTGTCGCAATGTTAATGGTAACATAAGAGCTCCGGCCCTTGTCATATCCAAATTGTTAAATGATAGTTCGAGGGCGCCTATAACTAATCTGTAAATACCACATTTTAATACAATACAGTCCTTTAATTTATAATTTGAATTTAATTATAATCATTTTGTCATTTTGTGGCGCCATCATGAAGTCGAAATTTTAATTAGCCTAATGAAAAAACTAATGACATTCCCATGAGCCTCAGGTGTTGACACGTCTAGTGTTAATTAGCAAATGTTAGCATGTTAATAGACTCGACTAAGACGCTGAGTATAATAATTGTTGTGTGTGCTAACCAGCGGCACATTGGTGGTATCACCGTAAGCAAGTTAGCGTGCATTTATGTTGAACTCAAAGCATGGTGGTTTCTAAGTAGCAACCTCCACGGCTGAACAATGAAGCCTGTGAAGTGCAAAAAACTGCAGTTCCAAGAATGGCCACTTGAGGCTGGCTCCAAAAGTGAGTAAATCCCTATAGACCCCCATGTTAAAACGCCCAACTTTACAGTAGAAATAAATATGTTTGTAACCTGATTGAAAAAACTGTTTTGGTCCCCATTCATGACAAATGTCCAGGAGATGAATTTTTATATAACTCACATATTTACTTTCTATTAAACTAAAAGTTATGCATAATTAAGGCCTTTTTGAGTGTAAGTTGGGTGCCATCAGAGGACAGTACAGTCCCAGAGACGCTTCCATGTGTTGTATTAGCTGTTTATAACTTCATCATGAGTATTTACATTCATCAGTTTACTTGCCTGTAATCGAGTACTAGCGCAGTTCTAGTAGTTATACCTAAGCTGAAAACCTACGTTTAGTAAATGTTAACTTTAGCTGCTCATCTTTCTGGATACATGCAGCGATGGCTGGGTTTTAAATATTTATCGTAATTCCTACTGCAAACATGTTTCTCATAAGCCGTGTTTCCATGTAGTTGTCGAGCAAATTTGAAACCATTCATCTCTCCATTATCTATACACCGCTTAGTCCTCACTGGAGTCTATCCCAGCTGACTCAGGGTGAAGGCAGAGGACACCCTGGACAGGTCACCAGTCTATCACAGGGCTACACTTAGAGACAGACAACCAAGCACATTCACATTCACATCTACGGACAATTTAGAATCACCAATTAGCCTCAACATGTTTTCGGATTGTAGGAGGAAGCCAGAGAACCCAGAGTGAACCCACGCTGCACGGGGAGAACATGCAAACTCCACGCAGAAAGATCCCAGGCATCCTAACCGGGGATCTTCTAGCTGTCAAGTGACAGTGCTAACCACCGAACCAACGTGCAAGCCTAAAATTTGAAACCAATTTTTAAAATGTAAGAAAAATTCTCAAAAAAGAAAAATGCAAATTAGGCTTGTTTCCGTTAACAACTTTGGGACAAAAAAACTCAGCTGCATCACACCATCAGAAGGTGGCAGCAGGGATTACGTTATGCATGGCTGTAATAGAAACAGAAGTAGAAGAAGCCGGAAACGAAACCAGCTGCTAAATACATCTTCAGCAGAAAAATTAGGAAAAATCTTCAGGAACATTTTTCAGTTGGGAAAGCTGTAATTATTCTTTCTGGTATTGGCTGAGCTTCATGATATCTGGCGGCAAAGACAATGAAACAAGTGGAAACGGCTGATCGGTCATGTGAGTCAAATGTTCTACACCAGAACTTATTGGAAAATGGTGTTTACATCTCCCATTTTTTCATTTTTCAGAAAAGTCAAAAACTACTTTAAGCAAGCGTAGAGCATCCTGAATTTAAAAACAAACAAAAAATATCATTTTTCTTTAAAATTAGGGAAGTTTTTCGAATTTTGCCATTTCCATCAATGTTTCCTAAGGCAATACTTCAAAATGCACAACTAAAAATTGTGTTATGGAAACACATTTATAGTGACTTCATAAGGTCTCTCATATAATACAGGTCTAGCAAATAGTTTGTTATATATCATTTCACTTCAGTATCCTCACATTTTTCCTGTGATTTGACCGATCCAAGCAGTTTATGACTGCTTCTTTGCATATCCATCACTCCTTGGTGTGCCTGCCTTTTGTATTTTACTTAATGTTATCAGTTGTCATTACTGAGCAACTTGTTCTCAATTTGCTAATTTAATGCACATGTCAGTACTTTTAACGAGTTCCCCTTGATTTGTATGAATAAGTGCTTTTGTGTCATTCCTTCATTTATTACAGCAAAGCTACAGGAATTTTTTGGCTCCTCTGCGTTATTCTTAAAACTGCCACGGCAGTGACTTTACCTTTTTGCCAGCCATGGTGACCGTTAGCTGCTTCCTGTGGCCTCGTCCTGCCCCCTGTGGAGGGCCATCTCCCGCTCTGTCAGGCCCACCCTCCTGCTGTCCTTTCCCAGCCGGTGAGCCGCTGCTGTGAGGCTTTGTCACCACCACACGACTATCCTGCTCCACAGCAAAGAGAAGATGAAATATTTACATAGTTTACAGCTATGCTTCCCACAAAAAAAAACCCAACTTCTGTCAACTGTAAAGGCAAAAATTAATGAAGCTTTTATTAAATCACAGTTGTCGTGTCCGTCACTGCTGTGGACACTCACGCTGGTGGACTTGCTGATCGTGATGGTAAGATCATCAGCTTTGCCCTTTCGGCTCTGCAGCGCCATCCCTTCCTCTTCTGCCCGTTTCCTGTCCTCCTCCACCTCCTAAGTGCAACGAGAACAACAAATGAATAACCAGGACGCCTGCAAGAGCTGCAAGCTGGAAGCTCCTCTGCCTGCGAGTGCTCACCTTGTACCTCTTCATGAGCGCTTCGTTCTTCCTGCGGAGAGCCTCGATCTTCTTGTCCAGCTCCAGGTCCCTCTCTTGATCCCTCTTGGGCATCATGTCACTGGAGGTCTGGAAGGAAACAACGAATCATTATCACAATAGTAAAAGAAGCACATTAACATTTTTCTTTTTCTGTGCTTTGGCAACTTTGCATCCTGAGTTTAGGTATAATAATCTCATGAAAATATTTAATATCAAACTTTTTTTTTCTCTCACTGTCTGACATTAAATCAGACTAAACTTTTCCTGTTTTAGGTTAATTAGAATTACCAAAATTATTTCTATTTGCTAAATGCCAGAATAATGAGAGAGATTTTTTTTTTTATTTGTTTTTATTACTTTCTTCAAAGTCAGAAGTTTACATACATTTCCTTAGTATTTGGTAGCGTTGTCTTTAAACTGTATGACTTGGGTCAAACGTTTTGGGTTTCCTTCCACAAGCTTCTCAATAGTTTGATGAATTCTGGTCCATTCCTCCTGACAGAACTGGTGGAACTGAGTCAGGTCTGTTGGCCACCTTGCTCCACACACTTTTTCAGCTCTGACCATGAATTTTCTACAGCATTGAGATCAGGGCTTTGTGATGGTCACTCCAAAACATTGACTTTGTTGTCCTGAAGCCTTTGTGTAACTAATTTGGCAGCATGCTGAGGGTCATTGTCCATTTAGAAGACCCATTAGCGTCCAAGCTTTATCTTCCTGGCTGATAGAGATGTTGCTTCAATATTTCCACATAATGTTCTTTCTTCATGATTCCATCTATAACATGATGCTGCCGCCCTCGTACTTCACAGTTGAGATGGTGTTCTCAGACTTGCAAGCTTCCCCCTTTTTCCTCCAAATGTAATGATGGTCATTATGGGGGCACCCCCATAGCTCACCTAGTTGAGCGGGCAACCAATAAACAGGGGCTGTAGTTCCCCAACGCAGCGGTTGTGGGTTTGTGGGTTCGACTCCTGCTCCTGACCCTTTGCTGCAGGTCTTTCCCCATTCTTCTCCCCCCTTTCCTGACTATCTCTACTGCTCTAAAGTGAAGGCAAAAAAAGCCCAAAAATATATATTAAAAAAAGAAAAAACAAACAGACAAAAAAAACATGGTCCTTATGGCCAAACATTTTAGTTTTATCAGACCACAGGACATGTCTCCAGAAATTAAGCTCTTTGTCTCTGTGTGCATTTACAAACGGTAATCTGACTTTTTTATGTTCCTTTTGGAGTGATGTCTTCTTCCTCTCTGAGTATCCTTCCAGCCCATGTCGGTCCAGGACTGGTTTCACTGTGGATAATGATTCTCTCTGACCACCTTCAGCAGCATCTTCACGAGGCCTTTAGCTTTTGTTCTGGGGTTGATTCGCACATTTCAACCGAAACACTTCATCTCTGGGACACAGAACCCGTCTCCTTCCTGAGCGGTACGATGGATGGACATTCCCATGGTGTTTATACTTGTGTTTAATTGTGTGAACAGATGAACGTTGAACCTTCAGGCATCTGTAAATTGTACCCAAGGATGAACCAGACTGGTGGAGGTCCACAGTTCTCTTCCTGATATCTTCTTTAGATTTTCCATATTGTCACCAGAGGAAGCAGTGTGTTTGAGGTGTGCCTTTAAATACATCCACAGGTGTGCCTCCAATTAACTCAAATGTTGTCAATTAGCAATTATCAAAAGCTTCCAAAGCCATGACATCATCATCTGGGCTTTCCCAAATAGTTTGAAGGCATCTGAGTTGATGTAAACTTCTGACTTTGAAGAAAATAATTTTAAAAATCTCTAAAAAAAATTCTTTCTATCATCATTCTGGCATTTAGCAAATAGAAATAATGTTGGTAATCCTAACTGACCTAAAACAGGAAAGGTTTCATCTGATTTAATGTCAGACAGTGGGGGAAAAAATGGTGATGTGTCTATCTATCTATCTATCTATCTATCTATCTATCTATCTATCTATCTATCTATCTATCTATCTA